TATTGTGATTCATTATCCTTCTGAAAACCCCAGTGTCCCTGCTTTGAGTCCTCTCCAGTTGGGGTCTCCCAGTGGAAATAGGAATGTGAATGGTTTTAACTCTTCTGAAAAGTAAACTCTGTGATCTTAGTGTGGTGGCTCACACCTTTAATCCCAGCTGAGATAGGAGGATAAGACCGGATTACAAAGTGACTTCAAAGCCAGCATGAACTGTAACAATAAATAAATAAACTTTATCAGGGTAGGTGTGTGTGTCGATTTGTGTTTGATTACAAAAGGTATTGAATGAGAAGCATTAACTCTTGTTTATTAATTTTGATATGAAGTTAAAAATCTATAAATATATACATATAGATATATGGAGAGAGAGAAAGTCTCTCTCTATAATTCAGGCTGGCCTGGAACTCAGCAGTTCTTCCTTAGGCTCTCCAGGCCTGGGATTATAGACATGTGCCACCATACCAGGTAATCTCCAAATCTCTGATCATGTGACTATTTGAAGTTAATTAAACAAATGTCTTTCAATTTATTTTTTTCTCTTATGTATCTGGTATTTGTTCATATTCTATAATTATTGTGAGTTCAAAGTCAGAATTTCATGCTTTATTTTCCAGATTTTTACCTTCCCTATTACTTACAAAGGAAACTAGCCTGGTCTCAGTCCTCCAATGAAGTCCCAGGTCCACTTGCTGTTTCAGTCGTTTGTTTGTCCTGGAGATTGTCATTTTTATTTTTTCCTGCATGACTGAAATGTATTTTATCTACTGAGTTCTTTTTATTTACCTTACACTCTTGTCATCACAATCTCTGAAAGTTTCTGCTTTGGTTTTCACTTATTAGAAATACAAAGTGAATAATTTTTTCCTAACCACATTCATCATTGCATGTTTTCCATTTTGTGTCAGATGAATGTCAGGCTCCCTTGTGTACACATGCATTCCTTAATTTATGGTGCTGAGAGGTCTGAAGCAATAGCTTCTCTGCACCCACTGGAATATACATTGAGCCCACTGGAAACAGGTAATCTCAGATGCAAGACTGACAAGGAACCTTTGTCATAGGAAGTATTACTGGTACATCTAGAGTTTCAAGGCAGATCCTTTGGAAATGCAGAAGTCTCTTCTTGATGAGAGAGGTAGACCTGTTCAGGTTCCACAATCCAGATCAAAGCACCAGAAGAACACTACGCAGACTGGAACAGCTTCGGGATCACCAGTTCCATGGGAGCAATCATCCTATCTCCTCTCTGGACCTGAAAGAAGAAGACAGGAAAGGAGCAGATGGTGAGATGAAGCATTTATCAGTCCTCTTGTGCACGTGAGCCTGCCCCGAATGCTATGAAAATCATGAATGCTTTCATCTCATTATTTCTGAAGAAAGATAGGGGATTGGAGAGAGAGGGTCACACTTACTCTAGGGAGAGGGGGCTCCTAACATTTCTACTCACTCTGCTGACTTTCAGGGAGGCATCTTCAAACTTTGAAAGTATTTTTTAAACATATTCAAGAGGAAAAGATCAATAAGGACATCCCATAAAAAGCCTCATGTCTGCTGATTGCAGGAAAAGATTTAGATAACTCAGACTTTTATTTTTTTGTGGCCAGGCCTTCTGGTTGCTTGTCCAATAGTCTTTTTCTCATCCTTCCCTTGTATGAGAGCTTTCACCTTATTGGGTACAGTGAGAAATTCCAGTTTCTTACAGGCAGGGTGGTCATGTGACACAGTCATGGCCCATAAGAGTAGACAGGACACTGGGGGAAGCTTCCCAAAGATTCTTGTAACAGTAAACTCAGCTGAAGTAGCATCTTAAATTAATCCAGTCCCCTTCTTTAAATTTTTTGTTTTGTATCACAGAGTGCTTTAAGATGGGATGAATCTGCTTTTATGTATTTATTTATGTATTTAGATACTGGGAATTGAACTCAGACCTTGCACTTGCCAGGCAGGTGCTTATGCCACTGAGCTAATTCCTCAGCCCCCAGTTCCCTTCTTTACCTTGCCTGATGTTAGTAAACATTATAATAAGAGCTCAGGTTCATATTCTGGGAATCTGAAAACAGGTTTAATCTTAAAGATGGACTCTAGTTGATGTGGGGGCCTTAAAGCATCCTCAGATTTCCTAATACACCTGAACTACCCTTGTACAATGTTCCTGTTCCAAACCTCTGGAGTCAGAGTGGGATAATATTCTGCTCGGAAAGGAAACACTCTCCTCCTCATGCACAGACACCTGTGGATCCCCTTTTATTCGTTTGGTTCAAGTGAAAGCAGATGAAGATTATGATGGGTAAACATTGAAGACCATAATCCACAGTGTCAGTCACCACTGGTTCGCAAATAAGTCCTAATCTAGGTTTGTCTTGAAACCAAGCAGAAACACTAGAGAACATTCTAGAAATTTCTGACCATGAGGTTTTAAAAAAATTGTGAAATAAATGACCATTGACAGTTTTATTAGTGAAAACATTGATAAGGTGCTGGGTTCCAGCTTTGGGAGTGAGATCGCATCTGGAGACCCAACAGCCTCAAGACAGCTCAAGGGAGGGCCTGGGCCCCTGTGAGGGCTCATAGGGAGCTGTAACTTAGGTTTTAAAATGAGACCCATAAGTAAAGAAATTCTATTGCTTTTTGCTAGATTCCTTATACCTGAAATTTCTTGTAAGTTAATAATAGCAACTTGGGTCCGCTGTTCAAAAAGGGCAAATAAAGAAAGAGAAAATTCAATACCCTCAGAGAGTTATAGATATTGGAGACATTAAAAGCCAAGAAGGAGGCAAAATCTGAGAAACTACAAGAAGAGGTAGAAGCTGTCATTCCCGCGTGGAATTTCCCACGCTAGAGATCCTTCTGCCCCTGGACTTATAGTACACATTGTGTGTGCTCAAATTCCTGAATTCTGTGAGGAACAAAGTTTATAAACTCCTGCCTTTTGGCACTGGACAATTTTAATATTATATTTTTCCTTTAAAAACTTTTCCAAGTACCTGATATGTGTTAGACACTGAACAAATTATCCTCAACATTTATACTCGACTTTAGAAAAAGATTCATTACTTTGCTGTTTAGATTGCAGCATAATTTAATGGTGATTCTGTGCTTCACAACTATTAAAATTTACTACATTATACCACACAGATTATGACAACAGGCAAGTTGTGAACACAAAATAAATCATTTTCCATCCTGAGTAAAATGGTATTTTCATTGCAAACTAGATGTCTCTCAATTTTATTAGCCAGATAAAAATAACTAGTTACATAAGCCTTGGCAAGAAACCCTTTTTATTTTATAGTTCTCTAATATGAGACATGCCATACCATAGAAAGACATACGGATTGCTTTACATTACTACTAACACCAGAGAAGTTGCAAATTACTACTGGACTTTTGGAGTTTCATGGAGATATATGTATGTTTTTGTCTGGTGCATTTATTTCAATATAATTTAGTTGTCTACTAATTATCCACAGATTCCCAGCCACTCAGATGTATTGTTATACATCCAGGAGAGGCTGTGGCAAGGAGGGCTTGCTTAGCATGCTCAGGGTCCTGAGTTCAGCCCTGTGTGTGTGTGTGCATGTGCATCTATGTGCCTGTGTAAATGCACAGCCATGAGTTATGCAATACCACATGCCATGTAAACTCAGGTTTCTTCCACAAGACTTTGAAGGCTTTGCTGCCCACTGCTGAAAACACGCAGGCAGTGCTCTAGCACAGGCTTCAAAGCCAGTGGAAACAGAGTAAGAGTTACCCTATCAGCAGGCACAGTAGGAATTATTAACAGGACCCAATGCAGAATCATTAAACTCCACCAGGCTTACTAATTGACTCCATTAACAGTGAACAACCCTCTGGTCAAGTGGGGACTCATTCATTAGCCTTTATCTTTCCATCAGGCATTCAATCAATTCATGTAAAGCCTCTTGATCTTCTAGGTGTCTTTTGATGAGTTTCATTGTTTTGTTTCTTGTGCTCCTTGGCTCACAGATTTCTCTGTTTCCCCAGGTTCCTAAATGCTCCCTAAGCACCAGCTAAGCGGTGATGAACCTTTCAGTCAGGGCTTTCACAAGCCTGTCGCTGAGCAAGTCAAAGCGGCAGGCGAGCAAGATGGGGCAAGGCGATGTGGAGGAGAAAAAGGGAACAGGAGGTTTCCAGCGGGTGCCTGCGTTCCCAGATGGAGCCAGGAGGAGGGAGCAACACTTCGGGGAAGGCCCCAGCCAGCCACGCAGACCAAACAATGGACCCCCAGTCCAGGCCTACGTTGCTGAGGTTAGGGGTGGGTGCTAACATTTCCTCCCCCAGGTTCCTCAGCCTCGCGTACAGAAACCTCCTGAGAGCACCTTCCACCGCCTCTCATCACCGGGGGCTTTGGGGTCCTTGAGGTGCAGGCAGAGAGGAAGCATCCTCTGCGGCAGCGACCTTCCGAGCCCCAGCCAGACCATGCTACGCGGCGGGGTCCTTCTTTTTCTACCCCAGGTTCCCCTCCCTTGGGCAAGGCAGAGGGAGGGAGGTTCCAGTCAGAAGCCCTACTGCTGACCCAGATCCCAGCTGGACCGCGAGAGGAATCTGAGGGCGGCGCAGGGGCGCTTTGCTACCCTGCACCCTACTCTGGGGTTGCCTGACCTGCCCGGACCGCTCCCGCCCCTCAAGATTTGTTGGTCTCGCCCCCATCCCTCTTCCTTCTTCCTCTTTTTCTCAGTTCACGCCCACCTTAGTGCAAACCAGGGCAGGAGCCCCAGTGCTGCGGTGCCCAGAGTTAAAGCCCAGAAGGCGGGGAGGCGCGGGCGGGCAGAGCCTGACGCACAGCCGGCCGAGCTCTGCGCCTGGAGCCGGGGCCGAGCAGACCCCTGAGCCTCCTCCAGCCACTGCCCGCGACCTGACTGGGATACGCCCCCTCCTGTCGCCCCCAATCCCGCGCCGCCCAGCCGGAGGGCGGGCTCTGCTCCGGAGGAGGGGACAAGGAGGGCGGCCGAGGTGCACGGAGGGGCGGGCCCGGCTGCGCTCCTTGCAGCGCTGCTGGGGAGCCGCGGATGAGACCCGCGACCCAGCTCGGAGCCTGCGATTGCGACCCGGGCCCCGCACGATCTCCTGCGCCAACCCTGTGTCCTCCCGGAATCCCAGATTTCCTGCTGAGGGGTCGCGGGCCTCGGGCAAGCGGGGGTCTCTGCATCCAGGAGGACAGCAAGAGACCCGCGAGCTCTGAGAGTAGCAGCTCCACAGGGGTTCCCTGAGAAAGCAGACCACGGAGCTTGAGGCCGGCAGGAAGGTAAGCTGGGGGGGGGGGGTCAAGGGAAGATGTGCAGAGAGCTAAAGATTTGCAAAGTGGAGGAGCCCTCCCTCAGGGCCCCTGCACTTCCTGGAGCGCCTCCTTGGGAAGTACTAAACATATTCAGGAGAGTGAAGAGCTTGGAACTTCCCACCAAAGGCTCATTGTGCTCCACTATCCTCCCTCCACGTTATTAATCTGCGGGTCCTGTTCTGGGGCTGGGGGCTTCTCACAGAGAGGAGCCTCCTAGAGTCCTGAAAAGGATCGCCCGTCCCTCTGACTCCAGTGGCATCTCTCCAATCCCCTTGGAGCAGGGAGGAGCCAGGAGGCACATCCATACCTGCCCACAGCTCCCCACTGTATCCCTGGCCCCCCTAGCCTGGATCACATTACAGCCTGGGAGTGGAGGCCTGGTTCCTGCTTCTCAGCCTTAAGCCCAAGTTGTAACCAAAGTCTCCTGCCTGCTCCTGCCCCAGCATGACCCCTCCCTGCTTCTGGGTGCCTGGCCCTGCCTGCTCCCCACCTCCACTCACCATCTTGGCTGTCTGGCACCCTCTCTCCTCCCATCCCTGGGGGAGCTGGCCTGGGCCCAGCATAGCTCATGTGGTAATGTCCCTGGCAGTGCCCACGGAGAAGAGCTGTCAGGCCTGTTCTCCATCAGTTAACTCAGGCCTCCCAGTAGCCAGGGAACTTGACTCAGGCTCTGCAAAGGGAGAAGGTGCTTCTGAGCTGAGGGTCAGTGGGAAGGGGAGAGCATGGCTCACAGACCAGGGAAGCTGCCACAGTGATGGGCATTGGGGGACTGAGTGCCTCTCTGAGGAGCAGTGGTCCTTTCTAGGCAACAGACCTCTTTCCCTGAAGGAAGATTAGCATGGGTTCCCCTGCCCCATCTAGTAGTGGAGGGAACAGGAGTGCTTTGGATTCTGTTGGTCCTTTCAGTGCACAAGGTGATGATTGGCCATGACCATGCACCTTGCTGGATGCTGGCAGCAACAAGCCAGGATGGCTGAGCATGGGGAAGCAGGACCCTCTGCTGAGAAAACAGAGCTCCCAGCCCTCCTCACCCTCTTGATCCTGGGCCCTAGGTCCTGTACCCCTGCCAGCTGCCCACTGCCTGTGGATGGGAATGGGCGGAATCTGGGGCAGTATGATTGGAAGCCCCCATTTCACTTTCGCTTCACTGCTGTGCTCCCTATCTCTGCTTAAATACTTCTGCATATAGAGCTCCCAAGCTCATAGTCAGGCAGATGGAGCAAGGCACAGGAATTTGTGGACCCCAGAACAGCCAGCCCTGAGCAGTGTGTCCTGGCACACACAAACACACTTTCAGCTCACTGCCCTCACCCATCTCACCTCACACACACTCCCTTCCATGTCTTCATACATGGCCAACAGGTACTGCTCCTGGCACTCAGGGGCTCTCACCCACCGCCTTTCAATGCTCTTCCTTCACACACACTTGCCACCTGTTCCACCCCCTCATTGTACCCCTTTTCCAGGGCCCTGTGTGTCCCCAGTCAGTGCCAGTCAGCACAGCCCATTCTACGTGGCTGTCTAGCTTCTTCTGCATGTCTAGACCCCAACACTGCCTGCATCTTAAAAGCCTCCCTTCCCTTCACAGTGGAGTAGAAGGCACATTTGTCTGTATGGCATGCTCCTGGGGACATTCTCACAGGCTGGAGGCCTCCAGGGACTCTGGACTCTGCTGGGTAATCCATAAATGGGCTTCTTTGCCTGCGCAGCAGGGGATCAAGAGCCACAGGACAGCAACCTCCTCCCTGCCTGCCCTGGATGCAGCACTGGGTTCCTTTTCAAGGCAGAAGGCCAGAGCAGGAGACAGCTGGGAGAGGATCTCCAGGGTGCAGATTAGAGGGAGGAGGCTGCAGCATTCAGCTGAGCAAGGATTACATTGGAATTCCTGGGGTGTCTAACAGCTGCAGAACTGGACAGAGGACAGAGCCCCTGGTGCTGACCTCACCCACGCTGACCCTGAGGGAACAGGTGGGAGAACCAGCGCAGCACCCACGCCAGATTCCAAACCACTGGCCCCTCTGCCCTGAGGATGCTCCCTCTGCCCTGGCTGCTGCTGGCCTTGCCTCCTGTATGCAGGCACCACTGCTGAGGGCCCTGGCCCCTCTCTGCCCCTCTGTGCCTTTGTGCTCCTGGCCTTTGCATGACGTGGAGGTTGTGTCTTCTGTCCTGATTTGAACTTGGGAGAGAAGCTTCAGAAACATTCAGGGATAAAAGTTATTTTGCTTTGTTGCTGACTATAATCATCACTCTCAGCTTCTGTAACTTTTCGTCTCTGCTTTCTTCTTACAGGTGAACATGCTTAGGTAGCTTTAAACTTGCAGGGTCAAAGGAGAGCGGGTGAACTGAAAACATGCTGTGTTTGTCTATTTCTCAAAAACATTGTCCTCTGTTTAGATTTTGTTGTATCTATAAAAAATAAAGTATGCCTATTAATATAATAGCAAGAAAATGAATTCAAGTATATGTAAGACAAAGTTAAATTACCCTCACCTACCATTCTCCATTTATGCCTCCTACAGTAACCAGTTTTAATGACTTGATCTATCTCTGTCTACTGTCATCCAAGCTTATTTGGCTTACATTAGTTAATTTTTTGAATTTAAAAAAAATTTTAAGAAATTGTACAGATTTATTAATTTACTTTTACAGCTTCCTTTTTCATAGAAAACATACTTTGTAGCTTACTATTCTACAAATCTTTATTTTTTTTCCACTTTTTGAAAGCAAAATACAGTCCTGATGCCTAAGACTTGTCTTAAGTTTTCAAGCAAAGATCTAATTTCTCCCTTGTGTCAGACAGAAAGAAAGTAGCATATCCAGAAAAGAAGGGCAGAAGATATTGAAAATCACAGAATACAATTTTTGTCATGTGATGTTTCCTCTAATCGTTCTCATATTTTGTGCTGTCGTTTATACATCCATATTTCTGCTGCTTTGGGGGTTTTATATATTTAAAGTCTGATATGCATATGAGTGGAACGAGAGTGTTTTCTCTACTGAGATCTGTCTTGAGTACTTTCTCATGCTTAAGGATTTCTGGACACTGGACAGCTCCTTTCCTGAGGTGAACCGAAAGGAATCTCTAGCAGCCTCTGAGGATGAGGAGAGGACCCTGGCCATGCCATGCCTCTTCTCATACTCGCTATGCCCAGGGTGCTCTTGTGAATGATCACAGAAGACTGTGCATGTCCACAGCCATTGCAGGCACCTCTGGAAGCCAGGGATAAGCACTGCTTGTTCAGTATTCCAGGCAGGTGGAGCTGTCGTGTTCCTATCACTGATTATTCCACTTTTGACACTGCTTTAAAAGAATCTGCAGTGGTTTGAATTAATTGACAGCAACTTATTCCATATCTTGAAGTTTCTTCTTCCTTATTTTTATTCTTCCAGTGGAGACATACTCAGATTCTTTTTTATGTTGAAAAACAAGAGTTGAATTTATCTGCTTTGTTAGATAAGCAGGAACTGACATAACTCCCAATAGAATCTTCAGCAATAGAATCTTCCATGAAGAAATAGGCTTTTGAGCTTCAACATTCTGTGTCTGAATGTAAGAGACTCTCAGCAAATATTAAAACACATTTCTCAGCACTTTAGCATCTCAACCATTTCTCTGTAATGAACATATGTGTTCTTAGTAAAATTTCAAAAAATTAGTCAGGTGGTAGTCTCTCCCTGTAGTATCTCCAGTTTTTTCTTTTAGATTCTTCTTGATGGCTGAAGTTTAAGAAGTTGAGATTTTTCCTATATTTCATAATTGCTTTTGCCCTTTTCTGCATTTTCTGGAGAGAGGCCAGCTTCATGTTTTCATTGAGATGCCTGCTAAGGCTACCGAGACACACCCCCTGTAGCCACAAGCCACTGTGTGGCTTGTATTGTGCTTCATCACAGCAAATATCTTGCCATTCTTCACTGGTTATAACGTCCCACATTGCACAGTGGACATTAGGTACAGTGTGTATTTTCTGTCTTGTTTTGCTGTCCTTCAAGCACAAAAAGTTGTTAAAATGTTACCAAAATATTTAGTGTTCCCTCTCCATGATTACCTAGCTGGTTAGTTTAGGAAGACACAGACTTTTTTGTTTCTTCTTTGTGCAGATTAGAGAACTCATTTCTGTTCTGCCTTAGTCTATTCTAAAGAATAGCTCAGCAAATAGTAAAATAGTCTCCATTGTTTACGAACTTGACACTGCTATTTTTCTGTTCTTGATAACAGTGTTCCTAAAGATTGACTCTGCACAAGATCTAGTTACTTTTGGGGCACCAAATATGTGTCTGTATTAAGGCACTGAGATTTTGAGAACTGGATCTACAAATTGAATTATATTAGCAAACAGTTGTTGGAGTTGGCAACAGGGTCATAGAAGTTAAGGGAGTGATACAGCTTCTTCCTTCAAGATCTCCTTTTCTTCTCTGGAACCTTTGTTTATTTTGCAAATGATCTTAGCAGCTTTGAGGGCAGTATTTGCAAAGAATCTACATTTCTTAGAAAGTGTTTGCTAGAAGCAACTGTTTCCTGCTTGCTGCCATAGCCTGTTAATTACACTCTCCATTTCACACAAAGGCTGTCAGAAGTTGGAGAGACAAAGCTCAGAGGCTGGTTAGCTGATTCCCACTGCACTACACATAAGCCAGACACCAGGGTGTCTTTCCATGGTAGCTTTTTAGAGACCAGACTTGCTCTTTATTGCTTGTGCTACTAGGGACTTGAACCCAGTATTTTACACTAAGCTACATCATAAGCCCTGTTTAAATTTATTTAAATTTTTAGTTATTTAGTTAGTTATTCATTGAGACACAATCTCAATAAAATTACTGAGTAGCCCAGGATGGGCTAGAACTTGCCATTTGCTGTCTTGTCCCCCAGCCCACCAACCCCTGAGTGCTGAGATTACAGACCTGTGCCACCACCCTGGCTTCAAGATTTTCTAGTAGAGTACATATAACTTTTTCAGAAAAAAATCAAGATTATTAGGAATCAAATTATGATGCTCATATTAGTGTCAGTGAACTGTAGTCTTATAGTTCGATTTCAGTTTCATTGAGAAATGTGTAGTTTTGCACAGCACTGTGGTTAAGAGCACCACACAGATGCAACCTGCAACTTCCCTCCAACTGCTTTTGTTTTGTTTATGGTTTGGGTTTCTGTCCTGTCTTGAGCAACGTGGGCAACATGCCTATCAGACAGAAGTAAATGGATTCTGCTGCTTCTGTTCGTGCGATATGTGCAGGCCCTTGAGGCTCAGCTCCAAGGAGAGGCAGAGCACAGCCACTGTCTAATGCAGTAGGCAGAGGAGCTGCTGCTGCCTGTGTCTTGGCTGTGACCTCTGGGGCAGTGGTGTCTCCTTTCCCAGACTCCTGAGCACAGTGCTGCACCTCCTGCAGGCTTGGAGGCTTTCCTCAGTAGGGAGCTCTCTGTTACCAGAAATCATTCTGAGAATGTATGAATACTACTTGTATTCACTACATGAAGAAGTTGATACCTACACTTTTAAAGAGAATTTTAAGTAGCGAGCCCATTGAGAGGATAATGCACACACAAGATTTCAAGTGTAAAATTGTAGAGAATGCAGGGAAAGTTCATTCTTCCTTGGCTGTGGCTCCCAGTTCTCTACTTTTGCTTTTTTACCAAGTTTCCTGTGTTCCTCCATAAGAGCCCTTCCAAGCATACACAAAGTCTGTTCTTCAGGTGACAAATGGGAGCGTACTGTACACTCCTGAAAATGGTTTTTTTCTCAGTTTACAACAGTTCTTAGCCATCCTCAATAAGGATGTCCCATAATTTCTTGACATCTGTCTGTGGATGGACAGTTAGTTTGCAGCCTGTTCCCTCCTAAACAATTCACACGAGTCCTCTTGATCAGACATCCGTGCTAACTGGTACAATTTATGGTCCCTGAATGGTTTCTTAGAGGTGGAGCTCCCACACAGGGTTTGGCAATCATTCTACACCGTGGGCGTCCCACTGAGAACCCATAAACCCAGTGTAGAGATAGGGCCCCCATTGCTAATATTTTGTTTCGCACAATATGTTGTTCTCAATTTCTGCGGTAAAAATGATGTCTGCATCAATTTGGGCTGCAGCCTGCCATAGGCAGGGTGGGCTATAAACCATAGATGTGTATTTCTCAACACTGTGCAGGCGGGGCTGGGATCAGGGTGCCAGAGTACTTGGGTTTAGATGCTGGTTCTCTCTCTGGTTGTAGTTGTCCTCTTTTCCTTGCAGCTTTACAAAGTAGAGTGTTAGGATGCTCTGTAGGATCATTTTTATAAGCGCTTTCTAAATCCCATTTGTAAGGGAATATCCCCCAGCATTTAATTATTCCCCACAACCCCTACTTGTTAGTAACATCTATGGGGGATTCAGATTTCTATATAGAGTTAGGGGCAGGGGCACCAACATTCATTCTGCAACACACGGCTGCCCCAGTTTTGTTTTTGTTTTTATGTTGAGTTATTGGGGATTGAACTCAGGGCCTTCATATTAAGCTAAAAACCAACCCTTATTATGGGACAGGTTGTCTGTAATTTGTAGAACCAGGCTGGGTTTAAACTTTCGATCCTCTTGTCTCAACCCCCCAGAGTGCTGGGATCACAAGCATGAACTACCACTCCGATTCTCCACAGTTGGTTTAATGTGTCTTCCTCTAATGTGAGCAAACATGAAGCATCTTTTCATGTGTTCTAGCTGTACGCTTATTTTTCTGTAAGCCATGGGAAAGAATGAGCCCCTTGGGGGAGAGAACCTTTGTTCAGAGAGTGTCTGCCAGACCTACATAGCTCTTTCCTCATTTATCTTTCAGAATCTTTACGCCTATGTGCCTTTTACATCTGTTCCCCTCCCTTCCTTCACTTCCTACCCCGCAGCCATCGTCCTGTGTCCCTTTCGCTCCACTGCGTCTCTGCAGTAGCCAAAGCATCCAAGGCAGCATGGAGGGGCACAAGGAGAATCCACATGTCAGCAGGGACAGAGGAGCCACTGACCCCCCAACTCTATTTAAGGAATTTTCTTACTTCCACACAGGTGGCTGCTGGAGGAAGGAAGGAGAGTAAATGCAGAGAAAGGACTCCCTCCAGAACACAGAGGTAAGAGGGACCCAGAGTTACCTGGGCTGCCCGTGAGAAGGAGGCCAGGAGAGAGGACCACAGAGTCATGGTCACACAAGGCATGGGGGTACCTGGCGTGTAGTTCCCCAGGATGGTGGCATTCTCAGGAGAGACCCTGGGTCCTTGATGCTCCTGCTTCATGGTTGGTACCTGGGCAGTTTGAGAATAGTGGGAGGGGACCCAGCTGAGTGTCTGGCCTGTACATGAAATCAGGTCTCCTCCTTCCTGCCTCTTTTGGCCTCTTTTGGTTTTCCCAGGAAACAAGCTTGGCTGAAGATTCCTGGTCTTGTGGAAGCCACAGCCCCACCTGGGTGTGCCCAGGGCAATGGTGGGAGCCCTGAAGATGCCTCATGGCTACTGAGGGTGCTGCAAGTTGGAGAACCAGAGTGGTGGGCATGGTGTGCAGCTTGTGGGCCCTGATCCTGGGGCCTTCAGTGCTGGCTCTGGAAGGTAAGAAGAAGAGAGGCAGGAGACCCCCAGCTGCCAATGGAGACCTGTGTGATGGGCAGGGCAAGGACTCTAAAAGGCAGAAAAGAGTGAAGGCATCGAGGAGGAAATGCATTGGGATTATGAGCGACCTGCATGGGGTGTTTCAGAGACAGGTTCCTGGCTGAGGTCTCTGAAATGGACCAGGGAGGCACATCCTTTGGGTCCTCTCGGGGATGGAGTGAATGCTGCCAGCACTGTGTATCTCCCTCTGTCTGTGCAGAAGTGCTGCTGGACACCACAGGAGAGACCTCTGAGATTGGCTGGCTCACCTACCCACCAGGTGGGGTGAGTCCACTCTTCTTTCTGATCCCTGGCCCTCTCCATGGTCCCTGAGAGGAGTCAGGCAGGAAACCTTGGTTTCCTAAGCCGACTCAGACTCCCTCTCCCTGATAGAACAGAATCTTGTGGTCTTCCCTTTGCCTTCCGTGTCATTAATTTTATTTTCAGTACAGTAGGCAGGGCCCTTTCACCATCACCTTGACCTCCCTGCGTGGCCCAGAGCAGCTAACCTTCTCTTGCCCCACAGTGGGACGAGGTAAGTGTCCTGGACGACCAGAGCCGCCTTACACGGACCTTCGAAGCGTGCCACGTGGCAGCGGCCCCCGCAGGCACCACGCAGGACAACTGGCTGCAGACGCACTTCGTGGAGCGACGAGGGGCTCAGAGGGCACACATCAGACTGCACTTCTCCGTGCGGGCCTGCGCCAGCCTGGGCGTGAGCGGGGGCACCTGCCGGGAGACTTTTACCCTCTATTACCGCCAGGCTGAGGAGCCTGACAGCCCTGACCACATCCCTGCCTGGCACCTCAAGCGCTGGACCAAGGTGGACACCATAGCAGCGGACGAGAGCTTCCCTGCCTCCTCCTCTTCCTCCTCCTCCGCATGGGCCGTGGGGCCCCACAGGACAGGGCAGCGGGCCGGGCTGCAGCTGAACGTCAAGGAGCGCAGCTTTGGCCCTCTGACCCAGCGCGGCTTCTACGTGGCTTTCCAGGACACGGGGGCCTGCTTGGCCCTGGTGGCCGTGAAGCTCTTCTCCTACACCTGTGCCCCCGTGCTGCGGGCTTTCGCCTCCTTTCCTGAGACTCAAGCCAGTGGGGCCGGAGGGGCTTCCCTGGTGGCAGCTGTGGGCACCTGTGTGGCTCATGCAGAGCTGGAGGAGGATGGTGTGGGGGGCCAGGCTGGAGGCAGCCCACCCAGGCTACACTGCAATGGAGAAGGCAAGTGGATGGTGGCTGTCGGGGGCTGCCGCTGCCAGGCAGGACACCAGCCTGCACGTGGAGACAAGACCTGCCAAGGTAAGGATCCATTTCCTCTAATCTGCCTAAAGCCTCTCACCTTTCCCTGACCTGGGCTTCCTCTCTGAACAATTCACGCTTCCCTCTGACCCCCAAAGGTCAGAAACAACCCATCTTTAGAAAGGATCTGTGTTCCCCGATTTTCTTTCTTTTCTAAGCATTTTGTTAAATGCTTACCCTCACTTATCTGAAATTATCCAGATTGTTCTGGAGCCTTCCATGGCAATTGCTGAGGGTCCTGGGGCCACAGGCTAAGGAGAGACAGAGACTAAGAGTTGGGCTCCTAGGTTATTGGTTAGGGCCTTCTGTTTCCCCTTGTCACCTGGTGGAGGAGGGTTCCCTGAAGGGCTGGGTGGCTAGGGAAGCAGGGAGAGGTGACAGTGAAAGTGTGTAAGAAGAGTGACTGCAGAAGGAGGTTATGCAACCCAGCTTGGGACTCCCACACCTGGGCTGGCCTTTCCTACACCCCGCACAAGCCTCCCTTTTGCATTCTGTCCCAATGACTCACAAAATACCTCTCTGCTCCTGGGAAGAGGTGGGGTGGAGGGATTAGGTTTCAGGAGGAAGAGAGGATTCACTGTGGAGAGCGAAGGTCTGTGCACTCCAGCACCTGTATGCAGGTGCATTGGGAGCTCAGCGTGGGTAGGTGCCGTGAGTGTGATGCCCCATTCCCTGTGCCTCCTTCAGCTTGCCCTGTGGGGACCTACAAGGCCTCAGCTGGGAATGCGCCCTGTTCACCGTGCCCTGCCCGCAGCCATGCCCCTGATCCTGCAGCCCCTATCTGCCCCTGTCTTCAGGGCTTCTACCGGGCCAGCTCTGATCCACCAGAGGTACCCTGCACTGGTGAGTACTAGCCCAGCAAGGAAAAGACCCAAGGGGTGGTATCAGAAAGGTGGGGGATGTGCAACACTGACACTGCATTTGGAGTTGATTGTCTTCTCCTTGTTGATTTCCTTCCCTCCCTGCCCTCCACGTGCCTCCCGCTCCCTCCTGCCTCCTCCCGCTCCCTCCTGCCTCCTTTGCTTTCTGGCTTTCCTTTCTGCTTTTCTGTCTCCTCCCTCTGGGCCACCTCCCCTCCTGACCTGCTTTCCTCAATAATTTCCTCCCACCATTCCTGCCTTCCTGGCTCTGTCTCTGCCACACCCTTGGCTTCTGCAGGCCCTCCATCAGCTCCTCGGGAGCTTTGGTTTGAGGTGCAAGGCTCTTTGCTTATGCTGCACTGGCGCCTGCCACAGGAGCTGGGTGGACGAGGAGACCTTCTCTTCAACGTTGTGTGCAAGGAGTGTGGGGGCCACCAGGAGCCTGGCAGTGGGGGCACATGTCGCCGCTGCAGAGATGAGGTGCATTTTGATCCCCGCCAGAGGGGCCTGACTGAGAGTCGAGTGTTAGTCGGGGGGCTTCGAGCACACGTCCGCTACATCTTGGAGGTGCAGGCTGTCAATGGGGTGACCGAGCTCAGCCCTGACCCTCCCCAGGCTGCAGCCATCAATGTCAGCACCAGCCACGAAGGTGAGTCCTTTTCTTCCACTTTAAGGATACCTTGCCTCTGCTCCTTAGGATTCTCTTTCTCCACACCTGCCCTCCATCTGGCCTGCTTTGAAATCCATAATCTGAGCCTCACCTCTCCACCCCACTCCTTCAATTCAGTCCCCTCTGCAGTCCCTGTGGTGCACCAAGTGAGCCGAGCAGCCAACAGCATCACTGTGTCCTGGCCGCAGCCCGATCAGGCCAATGGGAACATCCTTGACTATCAGCTCCGCTACTATGACCAGGTGGGTAGAAAGTAAGGTAGGAGCTGCGGCAGCAGGGCTGGAGAGAACTTGCAGCCCCACAGCAGGGGCTGGCATCATCTTAGGGATGCACAGGGAAATCCCAAGGGCTTAGAGCCAGGGGTAAGGGCCTGCCAAGCCCGGCAGGGAGTGAGTGGTTGTGCCCCTCAGGCAGAGGACGAATCACACTCCTTCACCCTGACCAGTGAGACCAACACTGCCACAGTGACACGGCTGAGCCCTGGCCACATCTATGGCTTCCAGGTACGAGCACGGACTGCTGCAGGCCACGGCCCCTACGGGAGCAAGGTCTATTTCCAGACACTGCCGCAAGGTGAGGGGATGAGGGGAACCCCAGACGGCAGGGGAGGCTGGAGGTTTTGTCAGGACTATTCACAACTGGCCAGGCCATGAACTTCCACCTAGGATACTCCAGAGGCTCAGGGGCAGGAAGGTGTGAGAAGAGTGTTGTGCTAATTCTAACCTTAGGAGCTGATCTTTGACCTTAGGGACTTTCTTGGAGATTGTGGGGGTGTGGGAGGACTGTGGGCATAGATAGGCATGTCACATGTAAGTATGTCTTGGGTGTACATATGGGCTATAGAGGTTGTGAATGTGTGTGAAGGACTGAGTATGCAGGTGCATGTGTGTGCATATGTTGGTGTGGTGTAGAGTTTGGGATGTGTACCTGTGTGTCTGTGCATGTGTACAGATGTGAGGTGGGGTTTGGGGTGTGCACCTGCATGTCTGTGCTTGTGTATGGGTGTGATGCAGAGTTTGAGGTATGTACCTGCGTATGTGTGCATGTGTGTGGGTGTTGTGTAGTTTAAGGTATATACCTTCCTGAACGTGTGCGTGTGTGTGGGTGTGATGTGAGATTTTGGATGTGCACCTTTGTGTATGCATTTGTGTGGGTATGATGTGGGCTTTGGCGTGTGTGCCTGCCTATGTGTGCATATGTGTGTTTGTATGAGGTTTGAGATGTGCATGTGCCTATGTCTGCATAAGCACGTGGATATGTGATGAGGTATGTGTGTGACGTGTGTGAATGCTGTGCACAGTGGTCTGCTTATATGCTCATGGGTAAGAGACCTGACTCCTGTGACTCTGGTGCTGGTTCATCAGGTGAGCTGTCCTCCCCACTCCCGGAAAAACTGTCCCTGGTGATTGGCTCCATCCTGGGGGCCTTGGCTTTCCTCCTGCTGGCGGCTATCACTGTGCTTGCTGTCATCTTCCAACGGTGAGGCCCCTGGCACTCCTGTCCAACCACCCAGACCCATACTTCCTTCTCCCACGGCTCCAGACCCTGTTCTGAGCCCCATGCAGAAGTGGGGAGGAGCAGCCCAGTAGTGTCTTCTCCTTCCTTGGATCCTGGCTGGGAAATTGCTGGCTTAGCAGGATGGTTGGGACGGGCAGAAGACAAAAGTAGGGGCATTATTTCAAGGTTTGTCCCTTAGGAAGCGGCGTGGGACAGGCTACACAGAACAGCTGCAGCAGTACAGCAGCCCAGGTGGGGCAGCAAAGGGGATCTGCACAGGTTTGGGGGATTTGAGGATGGCAAGGTTGAGGGGAAACTTTATGCTATCTCCTGGAGGTGAGGGGTGCACCTCTCTCTCATAGCGTACCTTATCTTGCAGGGATTGGAGTAAAATATTACATTGACCCCTCTACATATGAGGACCCCTGCCAGGCCATTCGAGAACTTGCCCGAGAAGTCGACCCTGCATATATCAAGATTGAGGAGGTCATTGGGGCAGGTACTGTGGGGACAAGGAAGGTCCCGGAGGGCCAAGAGAATCCCTTATTGTCTCCCTTGGCCAGGATCTCATTAGACCCAGTCTTCCCTGTCATTGCCAAACCTGTGCTTGTTGTTTTCCCAGGTTCTTTTGGAGAAGTGCGTCGGGGCCGCCTGCAGCCACGGGGACGGCGTGAACAGGCTGTGGCCATCCAGGCCCTGTGGGCTGGGGGTGCTGAGAGCCTACAGATGACCTTCCTGGGCCGGGCTGCACTGCTGGGTCAGTTCCAGCACCCCAACATTCTGCGGCTGGAGGGTGTCGTCACCAAGAGCCGGCCCCTCATGGTGCTGACGGAGCTCATGGAGCTTGGGCCCCTGGACAGTTTCCTCCGGGTCAGTCCAGCCTGGGTAGAGGAGGGTCCTTGGGGGCAGGGAATCTTGGGTTCTCACTTTCTTCAGGAGACACAGCCTGTGCCTGTCCCACCCGCTGCATCTCCTGGGGTAGACTTCAACCTCTTTCCCAGGACATTTTGTGCTTACCAAATTCACCATCTGCCCCCACCTGCCTCTCATGCCAGTGTCTGCTGGGCACCATGTCAAGGCTCCTGACTTCTTCCCCCTGCCCCTCAGCAGCGGGAGGGCCAGTTTAGCAGCCTGCAGCTGGTGGCCATGCAGCGGGGAGTAGCTGCCGCCATGCAGTACCTGGCCAACTTTGCCTTCGTGCACCGCGCGCTCTCTGCCCGAAGTGTGCTGGTGAACAGCCACCTGGTATGCAAGGTGGCCCGTCTTGGCCACAGTCCTCAGGTGAGTGTGGAGCCTGGAGACTCAGACCCACTGCAGGTCACGTAACATGAGCTCAAATGTAGGGTGGGTGCTTGGGGTGGGAGTCTCAGTGTCTGGGGATTGGAAGCTCACCTGTTGAGAGGAGAAAGAAACCAGCACAAGGCTCAACTGAAGGATTTCAGAGATAGAGGCAGAGAAGGGACCAGGGAGGGCAGAAGACCTGTAAAACTCTAGCACCAGTTCCCTACCATCTCCCTAACATTCAGAAGGTACAAGATCCTGAATCAGCATAGCTGGGCACCAATCTTGACTCTCCAGGCCTGGATCTTGCACAAGTTCATATTCTCTGTGCCTCAGCTTCTGCATCCAATTGCCTACCCTTTTGAGATGCTTAAGAGCATTAAATGAAATGTCTGATGTGAAACTTTCACTGCACAACTGAGCATAGACTCAGTAAATGTGATTCTTGGTAAGAGTATGACTAATTTGTTTTTAATTTCACCTCTCAGGGCTCAAGTTGTTTGCTTCGCTGGGCAGCCCCTGAGGTCATTGCACATGGAAAGCATACATCTTCCAGTGATGTCTGGAGTTTTGGGATACTCATGTGGGAAGTGATGAGCTATGGAGAACGCCCCTATTGGGACATGAGTGAGCAGGAGGTGAGAGCTTGACCCCAATACTGCCTCCTCCACCCCACCTTCTGAGGTGCATGTTTTGTAAGATCTCTCTTCTGCAATCTCATGAGTGACTTAGAGGATATTTTTGAGTTTTTTCCCTGCTCCCACCTAATGCAGCACCTGATTCTAGCTTATCCTTTCTCCTAATACTTCCCTCTACTAGCAGAATCTTTGCACTATCCTGTGCTTCCACTGGTCTCTAGGTCCTAAATGCTATAGAGCAGGAGTTCCGGCTGCCCCCACCTCCAGGCTGTCCTCCTGCACTACATCTGCTGATGCTGGACACCTGGCAGAAGGACCATGCCCGGAGGCCTCACTTTGACCAGCTGGTGGCTGCATTTGACAAGATGATCCGCAAGCCAGACACACTGCAGGCTGATGGGGGATCTGGGGACAGGTCTGGAGCTTGGGGCTGGAGCCTGGGAGAGCCAGTAGGGGGTAGAATGCAAACCAAAACAAAGCTGAGGAGAGAGGGCTAAAATGGAAAAGAGACTTTGAACTGACCTCCACCTGCTTGCCCCTCCTCACCTTAGACCTTCCCAAGCCCTTCTGAACCCTGTGGCCCTGGACTTTCCTTGTCTGGACTCACCCCAGGCCTGGCTTTCAGCCATTGGACTGGAGTGCTACCAGGACAACTTCTCTAAGTTCGGCCTCTGCACCTTCAGTGATGTGGCTCAGCTCAGCCTGGAGTAAGCAGGGGAAGCATGTGGGTGGGCAGATGCTCTGGGCTCCAGATGAGCGAGTGAGTTGGGGATCTTGGAGCAGCTAGCCCAGACCTGATCTGTTCCCTCCCTTCCAGAGACCTGCCTGCCCTCGGCATCACCCTGGCTGGCCATCAGAAGAAGCTGCTGTACAACATCCAGCTCCTCCAGCAGCATCTGAGGCAGCCAGGCTCAGTGGAAGTGTGACTGTGGCCTGGGCAAGAAGCTGTACACTGACAATGCCCAGGATTCAGCTGGACGCAGGTCCAAGGAGGGACATGTGAGACGTGAACCAGGCTCCACTTCCACCTCCGTGCCTGTCACACTTAACCTGGCCCTCGAGAAACAAAAAATGTATTCCCTAGTCCTCCACTCCTCCACTCACCTCCCCCGCATTAAAGGGAAAGAAGGGAATTTGCAAGTTCAGGTGTGTCCAGGCCTCAGTCTGCAAGAAGGGGCTAGGAAGGCCCTGGCAGAGGGGTAGAGTTGTACACAGGGAGGGCAGAAGATGCAGAAATGCAAAAGAGGGGCAGTGCAAGGAGGAGGAAATGGCTTTATTGGCAAATGGAAGGTGCAAGACTCAGTGCAGCTTCCTCATCCCTAAGGTAGTACCTGTCTCCCTCCCTCACACTCCTTTCCACAAGCCTGGAGCACTTGTGAAGGAGTCCTTCCACTTATGACACGGGGTTGAGACAGGTGCTTGAGAAGGTGAATCTATCTTTAAAGTGCTCTGCTGTGCAGTGGGACTTCCATAGGAGGGTGAGGAATGCTTGCGGCAGGGAGGAACACAGACTGTTTTCCTTGCCCCATCTGAAGGAGTTTGGAAGACCTGGAGCAGTTATTTCCAGCGTGCATTCCTTGACATTTGTGCCATTCCTCCTTTTCCTCTTGGACCTGGGAGTTGAGACCTAGGTTTCTGTTATATTATTGTTGCTTTGGTTTGGATTTGATGCTACAACAACCACCAGTAGGCAGTCAGATTTGGTATTCCCAGCCCTCCCCATCTTCCAAGCCCCGGTTGATCATGCCCCGCAGGTCACTCCGGAGGGTTCCTTGCCGAAGCCTTTCCCAGTTGGTGCTGCTGCGGGAGGTGCTTCGAGACACTGAGGGTGTAGGAAAAGACAGGTAAGGGTCTGTAGGGTATCTCATCTCTAGTTTTTCCCCTGGGTCTTTGTCCTGGTCCTCAGAGTCGTGGATTCCCTCTGGCTGGAAGGCCTTTGCGTAGCGCTGGATTCGCTTCAGGTTGAGGTCCTGCCTGTCTTCCACCCTGTAGAATGGAAGAAGACTTGAGAGAACAGGAACTGAGAAACAGAGTCAAGACCAATGCTTGTGTCCTGTCCGCTCTAGTGCCACCTTTATAGGCCTTTCTGCTTCTCTGCACCTGGTATGGGGATGGGAATATCAGACTCAGGAAATAGGCTCTGGCTCACCAGCTCTGAGCACTCATTTCAGGGTACGAGCTACTACAGGGACCCTTTCCTCAGTAACTGCAACCCAGTCAATGGACTTGGGGCTTAGGGAGTTCATAGATGTCCACAGGGTCCTTGGGAACAGGGAGTTGTCCAGCAAAGGATCAGCACACAAAGGTAGTTGTTCAGACACTGCCCAGCCCAGAACCACTACTTACCGCAGGAACCAGCGGTCCCCCAGCCCATACTCGCGCCCACAGATCCCAGAGCGAGGCCACAGGCAGCGAGGCAGCTTTCTCTCCAGCATCACCGTGGTGGCTACCACCTGCATGTGGGGACAGAAGGGAAAGTTAGAGGAGGCTGGATACAGACTGGGAAGAGGGTGGAGGAGGCCAGGCAGAAGGAGGGTGGTGTAGCAACAGCAAGAAAATTCGAGAGCTCTTGGCTTTTCATTGGTGGTGAACAACACTCTGAGCTTGAACAGTGGTGGGAAGTGTATTTAGCCTCCTCTGTGGTTTCTGTGGTCTGGGGTGGGGTGGGGGGCTCAACCTCCACAGCCTTCCACCAGTGACAGAGCCTCAGGTATAGGGCTGGAGTGCAGGTGGGATTCAGGAGACCAAAGAAGGTAGAAGTAAAGGTGTTGCTCCAAGACGACAGGGAGAAATCGGAGCAAATAGGAAGGGACTTAAAAGACGTCAGAATATTTTGACCCTACACAAAGGCCCTTTGTAAATGTAAACATCCTATGTAGAAATCTAATGCTAATGTATTTTCATGGAGAAAATAGTGTCCTGAGAAAACTCCTTTGAGCCAGCTCAGGTTTTATTCTGTTTTCTACATAGCATTGTTAAATGCCTTCTAGTGTTTGGAATTTCTATTTTTTGTTTTTCCTAAAATTACTCTTAAATTCTTTTCTAAGAACATTTTAAAATAGTGTGATTTATCTAATTGTCTTTCATGCCCATCATGGTGATCTGATTGAAGACAGTTCCTTCTAAGTTTTTGTGGCATTATTTTTAATACTTCCAACTTTTCTGTATCAAATTTTGTAGACTTAAATATGACCAAAACAACTTGACAAATTTACTGATGCAGTTGCAATCAACATTAGTTTTATTTCTGTTGATTATTCAATATAAAACACTAAGGTTTTATCTTATTATTTATTCACTTAAGTTTTGTGGTGTTGGTGATTAAATCACTGAACTACATCCTCAACTCTTATTTTTTGAGAGAGTTCACTAAGTTGCCCAGGCTGTTCTCAAACTTGTGATTCTTTTGTTTGTTTGTTTGTTTTGTCTTTTTCATTTTTATCGGTACCAAGGATCGAACTCACGACCGCCTGCTTGCAAGGCAGGTGCTTATGCAGCTGAGCTAAATCCCCAGCCCAAACTTGTGATTCTTTTACTTCAACCTCCTGTGGAGCAAGACTGAGATTTTAATTGTTAACAAAACCATGAGGAATTTTTCAGAGAGTTCAGTAATGCTTTGTTGTGTTGCTAATTCTTCAGCACACTTGGTGTTATTTTCCATATGGTGCGATAAAAATCAAAAACTTGTAGGGTCAAAATATCCTGCTTCTATCTGAGCATGGCCGGTTACTGGGTAGGAAGGGGATGACTTCCCTAACCCAGCTGCCAAGACTCACCTGGGCCCTCCAAAGCTCATCCTGCTCATGGGACACTCGCCAGTGGGTGTCGCCCATCATGGCAATGAGGAGGTTGAGCATCAACAGCGTGGCGATGATAGCAAAGGCAGCGTAGGTGATGCTGTACATGAAGGGCAAGTCCACATCGTAGTTCGCAGGGCCATCAATGACAGTGAGGAAGAGCTCAAAGGTGCTGAACAGTGCCATGGAGTAGTCAAAGAAATGCCCCAGCTCATCAGGGTCCTCTGTCTGGAAGATGATATAGAAGGCTGCTCCACCCAAGAGGGTGAGTTACCATGGCAACTGCATCATGACTAACTACAGCCTCTACTTTGCTTACTATTTCTATCCCATTCCCCTCATCTCCAGGATCACCACCTGAGCCCCACACACTTCCCATTTTGAGTTCTTATGTTCCCTTAGGCCCACACTCCTGATCCCAGGAACCACATCTTCCTGACATGCCTGGTTTCCCTCACCCCTGACCAACACCCCTTCTTCAGATCTTGCTCAACTTCCTTGCTCCTTCCCTCCGTTCTTCAAGTTTAGCCAGAGGCACCCTCCACCTACCACCTCTCCCTCCATGGCTCCCATGCTGAATAGGTGATTTACCTGAAGCAAAACCCAGGATGACCACAGCCATCAGCCAGCAGAATCGCATGAGGTCACCAAAGATCATCTAGAGAGAAAAGGCAGAGAGGACATCTCATATTTCATGAACACTTGGCCCATCCAAAGCTAGCAGGTGTAATCCTGATAAGTTTAACAACTCCCTGTCCTAGGTCAGAGGTTAGCAACTCCCTATCTTAGGTCAGAGGTTAGGCAAAATCTACTGGCCTGCATTGGCATAGCCCATGAAATGAGAATAATTCCAACATTTTTAAAAGATTGTTTTAGAAAAAGAAAAGACAACATACAACAAAGACTGTGTATGGCTCATAAAACCTGAAATATCCACTATTTAGTCCTTTCAAGAAAGGTATGCCAATGCTTGGACTGGACCTTTCTCAGAGAAGCGTGGGGAGAGGCACTGACCTTCTGGATCATGATGGTAAAGGGGCCCAGCATCTGGAATCCTCGGGCAAAATACATGACGTTGCACCAGCCCAGCACCAGTGCAAGAGACATAGGCACCACCTCTCCATCTGTATTGGTGAGCCGCATCACCATGGTCACCAGCACCATGCAGGCATAGGTGATGCTGGGAGGAGCAGGACAAGGTGTGATGAGAAGGATGGGATGATATTGAAAACATGACCTCAAGAGTATAAGTAGGACAGTTCCCACACATTCAGTGATTGTACTGTCACACACTCAATGCACAGGGACACATGCATCACTGGAGAAGGATCTATAGAATTAAGGCTCCTGGGACCTTGGATTTCATAGGCTGTCATGAATGAGAGGAAAGTGACTCACATAATGACATGGAATGGCCCCCCAAGGATGGTGTGTCCAAAGAAGCGAGTGGCCCCCAATCTGAGGATGTCTGGAATCTAGAGAAGAGTCAGGAAGACAAAAAGTCACTTGTGGACCAGAGTTCACATTGGAGCCACCACTCTTGCTCCAATCCTATCCACACCTTACCTCTACCAGCAGAATGACCACAGCCCCGAAGACACTCACGAGCTCCCCCACCATCCGCAGGTCATCCTCAGGGGTTGTATAAGCCTCCTGAAAGGGAATTGGATGGTCAAAGCATGCAAGCGTGCTTCCTTGCACCCGCCCTGCCTGCACCAATGCCCAAGACAGGCAGCTTTGTCTGAATCTTTCTAACCTATTAGGTCCCATCTAGTCTCAAACTCTGTTCATGGGTGAAGTGTGTTTCTGCGTGTGTGTCCATGCATCAGATAGCTGGGTGATGGAGAAAAGGTGATACAAGAACAGGACAGTGGGATCAGGCTGAGAAAAAAAGAAGCAGAGTCCTGGCCTGTCCATTTGCTACTCAGGGTGTTACCTGAAGGAGCTTCTGTTCGAGGAGTCTGTTGTCCCGGGGGCCGGTCTCATTCGTGGTCCTTGGTTTGAGAGGGCGGTAAACGCAGCACACAGTAAAGCAGATAATGTAGAGCAAATAGATTGCACCCAGCACGCAGAAGTAGGGCCGCCCAAATCTTTTCCACTTGAGGCTCACCAGCTCCTTCACAGGTGTCAGGTCCAGGATCTGCTGAGCCTGCAGCAGGAAGAATAGAGCAGGGAGCCCCGAAACACTGACACTTTAGTCAGCACCTCTGCTGTAAAGACCCCATACCTCGCGCTTCTTGGTGGTGACAATTAGTTCCAGCAGGGATTGCTCATCCTCTGAAGAGTCGATCTCTGTGAGATCGTAGAGGGTGGAGGTCAGAGGCCCGTATGTCCACTGGACATGCTTCCGCTTCTGCATCAGGTGTTGGAACATCTGAGGGAAGTGGAGATGGTCAGGTGTCACAGGTAGAGAGGATACCACAGAGGGTAGAAGGAACATACATTCAGGGAACAATAGCATAGAGAGGCTGGTGGCCATCATTTCATGACCACAGGCTTTGAAATTCATGTTTATGGTGACTACTAGGTCCATTTTTCTCCCCTCAACAGACAAATGGGTTAATCTCTCTGCCCCATGACTCTCCGCAGAGTTGGAAAGGGGCTAAAGGGCCACTGCTATGAATAGGGCAGATAGTCCTGGCCAGCAGGGTAGGCAAACATCCTTATGGAGAGACATAAGGGCTGGGGAAGCCCCTTACCACAGTGTTGCCCTCTACTCCAGCCAGCTTGAAGGGGGTGAGACCCTGGTAGTTAGGTACAAGCTCTAGAGACTGCAGGTGGTCCCCTCCATCATAGGACAGCAGCAGGTTGTACATCTGGCAGGCGAAGGTTTTGTTGGGTTGCAGGATGAGGATGTGCAGCACTGTGTTCCCTAGGGAGCATAGACTCGCATGTGATCACCAGTCTAATATCTCTGATGGCCCCATTCCCACCCTGGGATGGGCTGTCCACCCCCCTCCCTGAACCCCTGTACCATCCCAGTATCCACACCCATCTAGCTCCTACCCAGTGAGTCCTGGGCCCTGATATCAGCTCCATGCTCTATGAGCAGCCTCACGATCTCCTCACTGCCCACACAGGCTGCAAAGGACAGAGGGTGCTCTCCTGGGACATAGAGAAATCAGTGGCAAGAGACAGCAGGGTGACAGGATGAGGTGTCAGTGCCCCCAGGTGACTGCCTTCTCCCTACACCCAGGCTGGATGGTGGGGGCACTTGTCTAGCAGAATCAGAAGAAAAGATAATGTAGAAGTTAGGGACATGGTCTCTAATGTCTCTGATGGCCCCTGCAAGGGCTGCTGCATCCCAAGACAGCCCACCATCAGGGTTGCCAGTCTTCTCTCCGACTCTTCTCCTCCTTCTCAGCCTAGTCCTGGTGCTCACCATAGTAGATCAGGTTGTCAGGGCTGTGTTGGAAGGCGAGACCTGTAGCCCTGGCAGAGACACTGGCCCCACGAATGAGCAGGGCACGCACAAGGTTCACGTTCCTGTTCATGACAGCGATATGCAGGGCAGTCTGACCTGGACAGAGAGAGCTGGTAGTTAATGCTTTTGCCCCCAGGATCCTACAGGGATCTTCCCTTTTGTACTTATGCTCTTTTTCTCTTGGACATCTTGTAGTGGAGGACAGAAGCCTATGAGGACCCTGGGTTCCCGGGAGATCTGGCTCCCTGTCTAGCTATCTGGAAGTTGTGGTGCCAGGTGCTCTAGTAACATGCAATCAAGACTGACAAGGAGCTAGGAAGATTGCTGGAGAAGGGAACGGAAGAATAGGAATGCTCAGATGTCCTCTCTGGTTTCCCTAAATTATTCTGTTTTCAGACTGCTGAAAACACAGCAAACCTCTGTTCTCTGCATTCTTGCATTTCGAACCCTCACCTTGATAGAGTTCACATGTCATAGGTTCAAAGACCAGATCCGGGGCAGCCTCTATCAGCACCATAGCCACCTCCAGGTTGTCATACAAGGCTGCTATATGGAGCGCTGTCTCCCCCATGGCTCCTGGCATTACAGAGGAAAGAGTCATATGTATACTTTGGCCCAGAGGAAGGGGGCAATACTGACAATGCCCCTGTGTGAGGCTGACCCAGGAGATAGGGGCTGTGGCTCTGTTCCTTACCTTTCTGGTGCACATCACAGGCCTCATACTTGAGCAGCTTGCTCAGAGCCTGGACATCATTTTCTTTGGCAGCTAGAAGGAGAGGAGACTCCCAGATCCTGCCAGGGAAAGTGGGAAGACAAGTGATGACAGTGAGCATGCCCAAGTGGGGCACAATGATGACCTTGTACTCTGAAAGAGGTGCTCCCTTGTTTGCGATGGACCCCAAGTTCCCCAGGGCAGGGAGGGCAGGGTTTACCAAAGTCACCTGCTCTCAACTCTTCCTGATGAGTGAGTTAGCTCAAACCAACTTTGTACCCATGTTTTTGGTTATAACTTGACTGCTAGCCATCTGAGTGCTAGGCCAAATGTGCAGGAAGTGTGCTGTATGTGTACATCAGGTGAGGAAGGAAGATTTTATGTAAGTGTGCATTCACCTCCTGAGCTGTTTACCCCTGGGGTGGTCCTGTTTGGCCTTGCAGGTGTTCTGAGATTGTCCTGAAGGATAAACTTGTTTTGTATGGACTAGGAGTGTAAAGAGTTCTTCCCACATACTTTCAGGAGTAATCAACATGCAGGGGCCAGCACGTTTCCTGCGGTAGCTCTGCCTACTCAACCCTGTGTCCTGAGTCATTTGATTCTAGCACTGTTCTCTTTTCTGGGACAACAGCATTTTTAGGGTTCAAACAAAAGCAACAGTGAACTTTGGGAGAAAGCTTCACTGAAAGCTATTCACTCCCCACTTTTCTGTCTTCCTCTCTCTCGGCTTGTCTTTGTCCCTTTTCTGTCTTCTCATATCTTATCTCCTCCAGTCTTCCATCAGCGTCTGGTGAGCACTTTTAAGAAATGTCAACTTTCAGTCCCACCATTCGATCTGGGAAATCAGACTGCAATTTAAGAAAACTCTCAGCTGCTTCTTTTGCATATTAAAGTTGGAGAAGCATTACGTAAGCCAGTAACTGGAGATTGGTCTCTGGATTTGCAGTGATAAATCTGAGGCAAGCTCAGCATTTTCCATTTTCAGTGGCACACATTACAGCTCAGGAAGCAGTGTTCTCCTTCATTCCAAGACCTGCTACCTATAGGGCTTAAGTGATGTTTATTATATTTTTAGCACCTGGGAAGATATAAGCTATGCAACAATGATAGATATAGAGAAACTAAAGAATCCAATTTGACAAATTTATTCATTGAACTTCATGTGGCTCTGAATGTTTCCATTATTCCTTTTTTTCTATTTTCCAAAATTTTAAACTGTAGGGTTTTTTTTTTCTTTTTACTGGATTTTTGTCCTTTTCTATTAACTGTTTTTCACTTGTTGCTGGCAAAACCATCTTCTCTGACTCCCCAGATTAAATTACTACTCTTATTTCTTCAATGAACTAAAAATCTCTTATAAAATTAGAACTTGTCACAACTAAGACAAATGGATCCTTTTTATTTCATTTTCTCTGTTGACCTGGAGCTATTTGGTCTTTCTATGAGAGTGACTATAATAACCCTATTTATCCACTGATGGCAAATTATGGGACATACAAAATGACATCCACAGGAGCTAATATGCTGGCAGTGGCAAGCAATCTCGTGCAAAGCTAGAGGTAGAATGGAACTGTGGCTGGTACTTCTCTGATCACAGGCCTCACTTACTCCAGCAGAGACCAGAGGTCACCACTAGGCCCTATGTATTCAATAGTTAAACTTGTGTTTCCATTAATTCCCTCCCTTTTTGTCCCTACTAGTTCCTCATGAACCCAGGTGTTCACTTTCTAGCCCAATATTAGTAAAATATTCTCCTATCTACTCTCTCTGCACCCTGTCTCCACCTAGTCCACCCTTTTTGGTACTGCCAAGAAATTTTTTCTAAATGACAAATGTAATCATAGCTCACAGAAGTCCACTGGGTCTTTCAGTGCTCAAGGGCAGAGAACACAGAAGTTCTTCAAGGTCTTTGTGCAACTCTTTTTCCACCCTCTGCTGCTCCCACTCACTCCTGACATTCAGCGCTTTGGTCTCTCACGCGCCTCAGCACCATAGAGCACACAGTTCTCCCTGTGCTTGTGCCCAGAAGATTTCTTCCTCTTAAATCAACTCCTCCAGGCAGCAATTGTTCATTATCTGCTGTGCACTCCCATGCAGGGGAAAATGCCGGGCATGTAGTGGGTACTCACTAGCCTTAGCTGTAGAGCGGATGTATCAGTAGTGGTGCCAAAAAGTGATTTGGCTTTACTACCCCTCCTAATTATCTGCATCACCCACCCCTAATCCAACCTTGAGCAAATGTATAATCTAAGGGAAAAACAGTATGCTCGATATGCAAACCCAGCAGCAAAACAAGTTTTCTATACCACCTCCACTCCAACCATTTGACCAAATCCCTCCTCTTTAGATACTTTAGAGCCTATACTTTGCTTCCCACCCTCAGACATGCACACACGCACACACACACACACACACACTGTTCCCAGGATGTTTTCCAATGTCCTTTGGCCCTACTTTTATTCTAGTGTCTCACACTATGTGTTGTAATCAGTATTTGTCTGTCTCTGCACTAAGGGTCCAGAGATTTCCCTTTAGGTTGCTATAAATTTCCGAAGCTTGCAAATGTCTTTCACAAGCTCCCTTCCTGAGGGGTTCTTTTTCTCACCTTTGCTGTATCCTAGTGGGTCTAGGAAGCACCCAGGGTTGCTAGATTTGCCAAGTAAACATACAAGATGGTCCATTAAATTTGAATGTAGTACACAATATTTTTAAAAATATGTCTCTTGCTATTTTGGAGGCATTCTTGCTGATAGCAAAAAATTGTTCTTTGCTTTTCGGTAGTTCAAACTGAAACAGATGTTGTGTTTTACCTGGAAATCTAGTAGGCCACATTCTAGGTGAAAAAACACTCTATAATAGAGCCCAGCAAGGTTTATATAGAAATAGCCTCCTCTTGTTGCACACCCCAGAATGTAGCAAAGAGGGGTGTCTCTGTGGAAATGGCATCAAATGGTCTGTATCAGGAAATCATTATGTACAATAACATCCAAAGGCCACAAGGGGACAGAAGAGAAAGTTCTAACTGAGGTTACTGGCAGTGAGAAGACAGACCCCTCCAAACAACAATCACTGGGCTTTGTAACAGAGACAAAGAGCACTAAATTCTCCAGCAGTGGCTGATCACAGGAAGTCAGATCACAACTACAGGATGGGTTGAACCACTGGCTTCCAGAAGGTAGAGGAAAAACCAACAAAAAACATCTTTGTCAGAACAGCTTCCTGTCACAATCATTCGACCTAAGATTCCATCATGCCAAGGTGCAGAAATTCTAATTTAGAGAATTATAAATTGCAAATAATTTACAGTTATTCATAATCCATGAAATAAAAAGCATTATTCACATGAGTATGAATTATAAATTCTCTATACATAGAAATTATTTTTAACATCATTACATATGCAACTAAGAAAGAAATGAAAATATTGAAGCCTTGTAAGCTGTCACTGATTAAGTAGTAAAAGGAAATTATACAGAAAATCTGAGATTATAACAATATGAATGGTATTTTTGTGTCTAGAGTGTTTTGTTATTCTGGGCAATTAGAATTTGAACAGTGGGGTTCAGTATTGGGTTGGTGGAAAGTGAACTATGGGGATTCTGGTACAAAAATCTAGTACCAGATTGAGTAAACAAATCACTGATTATTCATTTTGGGTCACCTTTGAGCAATCAAGTGAGGGTCTTTTTCTGTTCTCTTCTCTGTCCCCTGAATCCCTTCACCATTTGTTCCCTGTTCTCATGCATAATGCACCTGTATTTGTTATAGACAAGAATCAAATTTTTTAAGTACTGGGGGTGCAGAGAGTCTTGAGAAAAGTTCAAATTCCTACAAAGTGAGTCTTCACTGTACATCTTTTCACATAACAAATGGAGACAGAATCCTGGAGCTTCGAAGTGAGTTATCCGAAGAAGTCAGAGGTGGAACTGGAATAAGGGATCGATCCACTAGTTATTTCTTTGTCCCTGTTCTCCGCACTAACCAGAGTTGGAAGGGTAAAGCTAGGGGACTATGTGGGCATACAAGTTGTAGCTGAGAGCACTGTCTCAGAACGGGTACCAACTGGGTGAGATTGGGAGTGGGATCCAATATGGTGGCCCTCAAAGCATGGCCTGGTAAGTTCACTTCTATTAGGAGGAAGTTTAACTCCTGCCATTATTCTAGTTGCCATTTTACTGCTATTATTTTTAATCACAGTAATTCATTTGTAAAATGTGCTTTCAGTTCCAAAGTAACACCTCAATCATAATTCACCTTTGCTCTCTCCAGTCTTCTAACTTCTAAAAGCTGGGCAATTCTGATTTTCAGAAAAGGAAACTGAGGCGACATGGCCAGACCATTGCCAGAAGATCACACAGGGTTAAAAGTCAGAAGGCTTGGCCAAGAACATAGCCCCGGGCTCCTACCACTAAATTATGTAGTTCTTCTAGTTTTATGGCTCCTCCTGGTTTTTCTTAGGAGGCTGGGGGCAAGTCTGAAGCAGTGACTATAGGTGAAGGCAAAATCAGTCATGTGTGGGATGTGGCATCCACCAGGCACTTGTAGGCTGCCTCCCTCCAGCCTACAGTCCTGGCAATGAGATGAAGAAGCCAGAACCCAGGAAAGCAGCTAGAGCGCTGGAGCTGGGCTATCTTCTAAACTGTGATAACTCCTTTATGCCTGTAAGACTTCAGACATGTATGTGTGCATGCATTTACCCAAGCAGAACCGTAGACTATACAGGAATGTATATCCCACAGCTTAGTTTTCCAGATCCTTCTATCATCTGTATTCATACAGCTATTTACACAAACAGAAATCAAAAATATAAATAAATTACAGAGTGCAATGAAGGAAATGTGACAGGAAAGCAGACTTATCTGAGGTGGAGAAAGGTAGAGGAATAAAGAGTTTAAAATAGGACAAGATACGATATAATCCCCCCCCCCAATGTAACTATTACGCATTGCAAACACACCTAAAACAGAAAAGCCACAACAAAGCTTCCTGTGTGCCTGCCTTTCCTCTGGGGAGGGACACTGGCAGGATAGGAAGGTTGGGCACTCAGGGTGGGCAGCCTTTGTGAAGTGCTAGCACACCTCATGCCAGCTGAAATCAGACACTGTGGCTTCTTCCTCTGCTCCCTTCATACTTGCTTGTATGTTTTTGTTGACCTTTGCAGGGCTCTAATTTAACCCACCCAGTCATCACTCGCATACTGAGGGGGATGAGTTCCAGCACCCCAGCACCCACAGAAGTTAGTGGCCTTCTGTACAGTGGCAGTTATTTGCATGTAATTTATGCACATCCCCCTGTATATATGAGAATATCTCCAGGTGACAAATAATACCCAAGATGATGTCAGTTCTGCACAAAATTATTGTTATACTATAGTTTTGAGAAAATATTAAGGAAGATGTCTATACAGATGCAAGCATTATTGGCTTAACTGAGTAATACATGTCCATAATAACATATCTTTATAAGTCTTTTTGGAGTAGCTCATCTTTAAGGTTGGTAAAATCTATTCTGCCCATCAGAATGCAGGCTTCCTGAAAGCAGGAAATGTATTAGACTCTTTCCCACAAACCCAGTGGGGTGCCTTATGCTCATTACACATGTCAGGCATTGAATATCACGAAATGAGAAAACTCAAGCCAGAGGAAGAGGTGATCTAGAAGTGAGAGAGTGGAGAGTCCAGATTAGGCCCCAGAAATGAGATATAAGGAGAGGAGCTGTTGATTGGGACCCAGAGAACCTCTGCTACATATTCAGAGGAGGGCTGAGTCCCTAGTCATCCTGCACAGACCTCAAGGCCTTCCCTTCTTCCTGGTCATCCCCTGCCCCATGGAATCCATGTACTCCACCCAAAGCTCCACTCTGCGAACCCTGGCAGGTCTCTGACTCCCTCTTAACTCTCTCTGGGATGCTCGCCCACCTCATTTATGTGGGGTGTCAGCACTACATGCCTGGCCTGTGTTCTGGTGTAAGAGACTAGGTTGGTAATGGCAATTAGCACAGTGTTGTCAGGGTCTCATATGTTCCTTTGTCCCTTGAGCTCACCCTCACCTGTCCATGTCTCTCTTCCTCACACAGCCCTCCCCTACGCATCCAAAGAGTTGACTGCATAGACTCAGAAATACACTTTCTAGGACCGACCCATTCCAAGAGGAGCCAAAATTATGGGTACCTGGTACCCAGGAAGAAGAGGGCCAACAAAGTAGAAGGAGAAGGGAAGATCAGGAATGGAAGGGAGGTGCCCAAACCAGTGACATCGAGTCTCCCTGGCCCAGGACTGCAGAAGCTCATCAGACAGTCCTAAGAAGAACTGAGGCAGACCAGACCACGCAACAGCCTAATCACAGCCAGGCTGTTTGCCGGGGCCCTAGTCTGCCACTGTGCCCTTGCCTAATAGCAGAGGCACACAAAAAAAGCTTCACCCTGCCCTCTGAGCCCCAGGCCTTCCTGTGCTTGGGCCTGGTGCCCCCAGCCCCAGGTGCCTGGAGTGGGAAGGAGATGAGTGGAACCAGTGAGGACCTATTCTCCAACAACAATGCCAGTCTGTCACCCTGAGATGAGGCGTCAGCAGCCAGACATGTGCCCTGCTGCCAGTCTCCCAGGCTTGGGGGAGAGAGGTGGGTGGCTGGGGTGAGAGACAGAAGCCTCAGCTCAATGAAGGGGCACAGCCTAGCCCATAGTGCTGGAGCAGAAGAGGAGGAGACCTCAGGCAGCTTGCTGGTGAGGCTGAGGTGGGCCCCTGCTTTCAGATAGGGAGAACAACCCTAAGACACAAAAACTTCAGCTATCCTGTGTGAATATGTGTATTATCTCCCTCTTTAGGGGCTCAGGGAAAACCCTAACAGTCAGGACTTCCTTCTAGCTTGGCATGAACTACATGGGGAATTCCGTTAAAGATTTTGGAGCAGAGAACACTTACAGGGTGCCTGGCAGATTCCATAGATTTCTCTCTCCTCACCTGCTAACAATTCCAACTCTAAGCTGTCATAGTGGGTGGACATCAAGTGAATTTAGGGAAGTTTTCAGGGTTGGTAAGCAAGCCAGGAGTCTTCCTTAGGACATCACCCAACCTGAATTAGAGGAGTGTTGGCACTTGCCTGATTTTGAAGCTAAGCACCCATGTCACTCCACAGTAGAGAGAAACATTACAGGACTGGGTCTGAACTGTTTCAGTCTTTGTAACACCTTTCCTTTCCCCTGACAGTGCCTGGACTATGGTGAGGTCTGTTTGAGATATGCACATAGGAACTATTTCCACATTCAGTCTAGTTTTATAGTTCCCAGCTCTCTTCCTGCTATTTTCATCCCATCATTCTCCGGTTATCCATGCATGTACATGTACACTGTACATTTCTGTGGAAAGACTGCTCTGGGGACATGGAGCACAGATAAATGAGGCATTGTCCTGACCTACCTGCACTGTTTGGGTGGAGGGGTTTTGATATCACAGTCCTACTGAGGCCAGCAAGATACCTGGCCATTAGGATAGTACTCAGAAGTTTGCAGAGTTGAACTGACTCTCTAAGATAATGAACACCCAGCTAGGCAGCCACGCTTTCCCATCTGGGATCTTGGGCAGCTGGCCCTGCATGCCAAGACTTCTTGAGACACTGGACTCTCAGGGAGTCTCCAAGCTGCAAGCTCAGCCAGGTGTACCAAGCAAAGAGGAGAGGCAATGGGGGAAAGGGGTGTGCAAGCCTAGGCAAGGGGCAGGAGCAGACAGTGAGCCTTACCTCTTCTGTTGAAGCAGATTCAACTCATCTCGGCTTTGAGTCCAGGAATCCTGTCTGTGAAACAATCTGCAGAACTTGTTCCATAGGCGGAGAATTAACCCTTTCTCCTTGGACAAGGACAACCCCATGGATTGGAAGGTCGACTCTTTGGGGGGCTGAGGCTTACGCCAAACCCCCACTGGGCTCGGCCTTGGGGCCACATGGGCGCCCCCAAAAGCCGGCCTATCCTCTGCCTGTGGAGGTCCCGTCTCCTGTTTCTCCTGTGAGGGCTTCCTGCCAGCAGTCTCTGCTGAGGGCTCTGAGTGTGTTCTACTTCGAGGAGCTGGGAATCACTGGGAGTGAGCAAGAGCTGTACAGACACTCCCTCCCTCCTCCCAAATCACCTGAGATTTAAAGAGACAGGCCTGAAGTCCTGCCTACCTGGGGGCCTTTCTCAGCTGTAACTCTCCACCCTGGGACTATCTCCCTGTCCCCAGGCCAGTCACAGCAGGGGAGGCCTTCAAAGAGATTAGAGAGCTCTCTGCTGGACTTTGGTACTCACAGTGACCTTTCTTGTGAAGGCCTAGACAGGTTAGGCTCACCTGAGAGACTCAAGACAATGGGGCAGAAGGGAGGAGAGCTGGCCCCTTCCAGGAATCCAGGGGAGTCCCGTGGAGGAGGCCTCCATTCTTCCCTGGCTTCCTTCTGCTCCTTCTGTGTGCCCCTTCCACTCACATCCCAGAACTTAGATTTTCTTGACTCTTGCCATTGAAGATTTTGCATGGTCCCAGGCGGGTGTATAAATAGCAGAGGTTTCTAGTTCTTGCCAACTTCAGGTCAGTGAATTCTTTCTGTAAAGGACCGAATAGTGAAGGTAAAGTATTTTAGGCTTTGTAGGCTCCATGCAGCAGTGATTGGTGTTCTTTGTTTTTTGGTTCCCTCTCCACCCCTGACCCTCATAATGATGTAAGATTCATCCTTAGCTCACCAGTCAGGGCCCAAAATCCAGCTGCTGGTAGACCCTGCTCTGGAGCCCAATCCTATTCCTAGGATGGGAGGATCACCAGAGAAAATACAGGAGGCTCAGCCAAGTTTGAATTCAAGTGAAAAACAAGAAACTTTTATTTCTTTGTTGTCCAGAATATAAATATGTTCCAGATTGTGCAATTGTGTAACAGTCACCTTCCAGTGAAAACCAGGTTTATTTACTACTACTGCTGCTGGGCCATATACAGGGTTGTCCCTACATAAACTCAGAGCAGACTTGTAAGGCTGCTATTATTATTACTCAATTTGCCCATGGAAAAAGTAAGCAGAGTATGACAAAGGAAGTCCTCTGAGATTTCAGGAGTAGTGGCAGCAAGGTACAAACCCATGCCAGAAGGCCTCTCCTTTCAGTTTCACCATGCACTCCACAACCTGTCTCTCTCGATGTCTAGGGATTTGGGGTCCTGCTTTAGCTGCAAGGTTTGTTTCTCCTAAATGCATCTGATTTTGGGAGTGGGAAGTTATAGACAGAGGAGTCTGTGTGTGTGTCTATGTCACAGGAAGCGTTTGTGCATGTATGCATGAGTGCTTTGTATGTACTATGTATATATATGCTGTGTGTGTGTACATCTGTGTATGCATGCATGTGTGATATGTGGTATTAGTACGCTGTGTTTGTATGGCTTGTCTACAGAGGTTTGGTGTGTATATGGTGTACGATGTGTCCAGGGTGAATGTGATGGTGGTTGTTACATAAGAGGGAGATCGTGAATATGTGCTGTTTGCATTGGATGTTATGTCTATACAATACGTGGGTGTGTTGCTTGTGTTGCATTTTTATGGTGCTATGCATGCATATGGTGTGCGTTTGGCATATAGTTTGCACTGTATATGTATATGTAGAATGGGTGTGTATGTTGTGTTTTTTGTATGCATTTAAAGATTGTATGTGTGGTGTATGGTGTCTACTGTGTCTAGATATACTATTTCTATTATGACAGTGTGTTGTATGTGTTATATGATGTTTTGTGGGAGTAACATGGGGTACATAAGTACGCATGGAGAGCAGATGTAAGGGGAAGGCAGTGCTTGGGTGCAGGATGGGACAGCTCCTTTGGTGCAGACAGAAGGGCTGTCTTTCTGTAGAAAGCTACTTGAGCTAATGGGGCTGGGCCTAGGGCCAGGCCCTAGAGCCTTGAACAAACAGTGCAGTTCGATTAGCTGCTTTCCCCACCCACCCAGGGGTCATTAGGTTCAACCTAGGTGGGGGGAAGGCACTAGAATTGAAACCTTGAACCTAAGACCTTTGTGCCCATTAAGCCAAGTGTTTGCCTGCTGACCCACCCCACCTGCTCTGTCCTGTTCAAGCCCAGGGAGAGACCCCAGCTTAATCCGCAGTCTGGGAGGGGACAAGGCAGTGTGGTGTGTGTCATGCTGGGAAGGGAGCCTACAGGAGGACAGGAGTAGGCATTTTCTTTTCCCTTTCTTCACATGGAGCTTTCTTTTCTCAGCACTGCCTTTGCCCAGGCCAGCTGTAGATGGAGAATGAAGAACAGACTCAACATGGTGTGGAGGCCTAGAAGGGACCAGCTGGTCTGCTGCATGCGGGCTTCTGACATCACTGTTGCCTGCGTCCTCAGACCCCACAGCATGGACTTGGAACAGATGGGAAAGTGGGGCCGGAGGTGAGGGCACTGCCCAAGGGCTAATGAGGGTGCCACATTCTCTGCTGGTTTCACATCTGAAGGCTGTGTCTCCCAGACCTCCAGCATTGCTGGTTCCCAGGAGAGAGAAGGACTTTGAGAATGGACAGCCCACCCCACTCCACCATGTGCACAAGAGGAGTTGGCTGTGCAATCCAGAGCCCAAGAGTGTCCACTTGCAGGAGGCTGACAGGATTGGGAGCCATAGCAGTGTGTCCCAGGGTTGGTCTCAGGTTGGGAGATGCCACACACCCCCTACAGGTCCCTTCCCAGACCCAAATCTGACAAGGGCTCTCTGATGCACAGAAGTCACCATCCCTCTCAATGCTGCCACTTGAAAAGCTGATGGTGTGCACTTGCAGTGGCTGACTTCTTCCTTAGCCTGACCATATGGCAGACTCTGTGAGGCTTTGGAGAGACCAGATGGAGTCAGAACCCAGCAGGAGGGCAGCTCCAGAGGGTCCACCTAAAAGTCTGAGCACAGGCTGAGATGCACAGGAGCAGCTCCTTGCAGCTGATTCTTCTGCTGGGGCTCAGCCTGGAACTCAGCACCAGTGAGGTCCTCAGGAGACAGCTGTGGGAAAGATGCTAGTGTAGGCCCGTTCCAGTGCATGCAGGAATGATGAGGACATGGCCTTGATGCAGGCACAGGAGGTGAGCGGCGCTGATTTATGCATTTTTGGAATGATTGCTGGGCCTGGACACTACTGATAAGGTACAAACCCTTGTCTTCTATTGGGTTTAGCACTGGCATCCTCAGGTGCCAATATCCTGGCTTGAAGTGCTAGATGACAGAGCCTCTCTTTCTCCTCAGCTGTGACAATAAAAGCTGCTTCTAGTTATTGTCCAGTGTCCAAGTGGCAAAGTCATCCTCCACCGAGTTACTGAATTGTGTCAGGAAAACTAGATATACATATTTGTTTTGGCTTTGCCTGTCTGTTCTGTGTCTTTCCATGCTTCCCTCATTGTTCACATGTCACTGTCTTTTTTATTCAGCAATGGTACCTCTGCTATCTTGGTCGTAGGCTGTGTATGTGTGTATATACTGTGTGGTATGTGAATGACTGAGTGATATATTTTGTATGCATGCATCATATGTATGTGTGCAGTATGTGTTGTGTGATCTCGTGGATGAATACTTTATATTTTAAGTATGTGAAATGTGTACATGTAGAGAAATGAAGCATATATACAGCACAAGGGTGTGTGTGTGTGTGTGTGTGTGTTGTGCACAGTCTCTGTGTGGGTATTGTATGCAGTGTGTGCTGCATGTACAGTCTGTGGAAATGTATCATGTGTTTTGTGTATGTGAATGTTGTACATGGTATTGTGAACTGTGTGTGTATACATGGTTTATGTCTGTTTTCTGGGCACTGTGTGGAATGTGCACATGGATCATGTATATGGTACGTTTTGTGTACTTTGTATGTGAGTATGTTCTCTTCTGTGACTAGTACATACATCCCTACTGTCAGTGGTGTTTGTGGTATGTGAATGTTATTTGTGTGATACGTATGAACCATGTATGTTTTGTCGTCCTTCAGTTATGAGAATGTGTGGTTTGTGCGGTACTGTGATACATAGTACACAGCTTGTCAGTGATACATATGGGCTGTGCAGTGCTTGTTTATATTTGGTGTCATGTGTGTGTCATGTTGTGTGGTGCATGGGTATGCATGAGTTGTATATACAGAATTGTCATGTGTGCTGCATCACATATCCATGTATGAGCTGTGTGTGCCACTGGAGCCCTCAGTTTCTCACTTCCTCCTTCCCTCAGGTCTGTCTCTTCCTCTCCCTGTAGTTAGAGGCTGCCCTTCTCTGTCCCCCCCTGGTGGCCCTCTGACTGTTAACTCTCTGCTTTGTGGTCAGGCGCTGGGGACCAGGAAGCCAAGGGGCCACAAAATGGAAGTGATTAGTGCAGAACCCATGCTCAGTCAGTGTGGAGTTTGTCCTAGTCACTGGGTTCATCATCTTGGGTGCCAACTCATAAAGCCTGAGGAGGAGGAGCTACAGTCAGCAGGGAAGGTTCACACCAGGGCGATGTGCCACGGAGCCTGGGAGCTGGGCTGGCTTCAGAGCACCCTGCCACTCCCCATTTGTTTGGAAGGTGCTTTATGCAGAGTCTTCAAGGACCTTTCTGATCAAACATTCTGTGATTTTGAAGCAATGGGAGTCACCTGAGCTTCCGTATACACACAATCACCCTTCAGCTTTCCCAGAAGAGGAGGCCTAACCTGTTGCAGAAGCAGCATGCTTTGTCCCCCAAAAGTGGCTTTGGTTGTACCCATCCCAGGAGCAACTGCAGCTCCTCCCTGTGCCCCAAATCCATGTGCCAGACACCTGCTCTGTCCTGGCTCCTCTGAGTCTCACAGCAGCAAGGACCTGGAGGAGCTCAGATTCTACATGCATCTGGGGAAGGGCCCACAGGAGGATGGTGGGAAGGCTGAGCTGGTGATGGACAGGGTTTGGGAGGGGAAGAGGCCATGATGGACACCATGTATAGGCAATTCAATCTTCTTAGGCACATGCACACTGCTTGACATGAATCAATGCATGGTGTAGTCGTGTCAAAATGAATTAACATGCTATAGTAGTCTGTAAAAGGACTGTGTGTACGTACATGTGCATGTGTGGGTATTTTCAGACTTAGAGTCTGTAAATTTCAAAATACTTATGTAATCAGTGCTCCTTGGCCTGACTTCAGTGTGGGATAAGCCCTAAAGGCACACACAGCCCCATATAAGGGAGCACGTCTCTTCCTCTTGACCATTTCCACACACGCAGCCCACTTTCACCCCTGTCTCTCACACTGCCCTGTGCATGGAAGACTGGCTCCAGCCAGAAGCCATTCAGTTTGATGTTGGCACCACCCTCACCCTGTCAAAGACTCTGACACCTTGCTCCCAGGTCCCTTACCCAGAAGATACCAGAAGAGGGTCTGAGCTCTGGTCTGGGACCAACAGGGCCCGGTAGAGATATGGGGTATGGAGGAGGATGTCAAAGTCCACAGACTGCCCCTAAGGTAGCCCCTGGTCCTGTGGCTTTGTTTTACCCAGGCCATTTGGGGGGACATCTTCTTTGTCCTTCTTTTTCACCAAACACTAAGGTCTTCATCTCACAGCCTGAGCCCCTGTGCAGGCACCATAACTTCTTGTGTGCCCACAGGCAACCAGGAAGACAGGCTGCTGAAGTGCACATACGTGGGTAGCTGTACAAGGGCGTCAGTGTGCTAAGGTGAGTTGGCTTCCTGAGAGAGGAAAACAGGCAGAACAATTGCTCTGTAAGGGGACAGCTGCATTCCAAATGCAGGGTGACCAGGAGTCACTTGCTTGACCCTAAGTACTGATTATTTGGTTTGCTGATCTGAGAAAAGCACACTGCGTGTTTTGTGCCCCACTTCCTCTTTCCTTTCTCTGTGCTCCCAGGGAGTCCCCTCTGTTTCCTGATGAAGGAAGGAAAGGGCTTGAAGCAGCAGCATGTCAGCGTGGGTCTGGCTGGGATGCAGGCTACCTCCTAACACTGAGCGGGGGAAATGGTGAAGTGCCCCAACCAGAGGGAAAACCAGGGCCCTAGCAAGCCCCAGATGGGGCATGGCATAAGGGGTGTGACCCTTCTGACTAGGTCAGGGGAGGTTGGTTCTGCACTCCAGGAAGTGTCCCCAGACCCTAGGCTTCACACCACCAAATGTTTCTGTGCTGCAGAAACTGAGGCTAGGAATGGAGCACGAGAATATGCTCTACATACCAAACTCCATGGTTGAGGATCAGGGCATGGCTTAACCATTATTCCCAATCTCATCATCCACATCTTAATCATCCACATCAAAAGCCACACCCTTCCTGCAGTAGCCCTATTGTGGCAGCATTTCCCAGTGATCTTTCCCCACTCATCTCCAGCTATACTTCTTAGTTTTTCTTTCTCCACCCCAACAAACTCAGTGAAAGGGCAATAGATGATAAGAACTCTTTTCATTTCTGTTTGTTTAGAGCATGTTCTCACCCAAACACCATACCAACTCTGTCATAAAAAGGAAGCCAAATTCCAGGCTTATTTAATAGCTGATTAGTGCATGTGGTTATATGTAGTGCTTTTGAAGGGAACACACAGGGAACAAGATAGAGTGCTTCCCCTGAGGGTCTCTATGGGAAAACTCTCTGGGGACAGAATAGAGCAGGGTATGATCAAACACTCCATGGATGCCAGGCTTGGGAAGCTGTAGTCCTATACTCCCTAAGATAAAGTAGCCGGGTAGCTCAACATCAGAGTTCCTTGGACGTGAGTCAGAACCAGTCTGCACTATGAGGGGCTGCATGGATTCTGAAGCACATCCTTGATCAGGATGTGGAGGGGATTGTTACGGGAACCAAGTGGGACAGCAGAAGGTGTCCCAGCTGGGTACAAGGGAGGTACTGGAGCCAAACAGTACATTCTCTAGGTGGCTGTTGGGCAATTGTGGTTGAACCCAGTCACCAGAAGCATGCGGTTTCTGTCACACAGTACAATGACAGGAACTAGGAAACAATAAAAAAAAAAATCAGAACTACTTGGCAAACTCCCTCACCTACTCTGACCGGACCATACATGATTCTGGGATGGCAATGCTGTACTCGCCTGCGCGTAGCTCCCTGGTACCTGAGAGTGTTGGTGTTAGTATATCCTGTCCGGATTTATTCAGCAAATGTCCAAGAGAACATGTTGGGGGCACTGTGGGGTGAAATGGGTGACAGGTACAACAATATCCGGGCTGAAATTATTACTACCTGTGACCTAGGTAATTTTCCTGTCATTGCTGCCATTTGTCCTGTTTGAAGTTTTCCTTCTTGTTTACTTTGAATTGTTCAAAGGGTATTATAGTCTCCAAGGTGCTGGAATGTCTAGAAATTCCCTATTTCAATCAGGCCTGCTCCTAGATTGCACAATGGCAAATTGTGGGAAAAAAAAATCAGAGTGAATGGTTTCCTATTAAACTCCACACTGAAATCGATAAGATGGACTCTAAGATTGTGTCACCATTACCAAGGGAATCCTATTTCAGCAGGGTTATTGTCAGAAATATACAGCTGCCCCTATGCTTAGCATTAAGCCAAGGTGTCTCTGGTTGTGGAGAGTTTAGTGTCCTATACACTGGTCTGATTTGTCTGCCTGTCCGAGGGCACTAGGAAAACAGGTCTCTCCAGGAGCCAAAAGTATGAGCTATTGTTCTGCTCTGTCCTAGTCAAATCTGTTCTTCACTCAACAATCTTTTTGAGGATCACCATCCTCATCTGTCAGATGAGGACATACCCCTTCCTCTGTTAAATGCATGGAGTTGTCACTAGAATTAAAGACAATACTGGACTTGGATAGAAGTTATGTACTATAAGCAACATAAGAAGGAGAGTCGTCTGTTTTATCATCATTACTGGGGTTGGATTATTTGAAATTGAAGCCTGTAGGAATCAGCCTTCTAGGCGGCATATTAGAGATGTCTTTTCTTAGTGTCTCTGAGTCTTATAGTATGATCACAGACTTTGGAGTCAGTTGTGTTTGGGATTCAAGTCAGATTCTGCTGATTATTGATTGAGAAGTCATGGGTCAGACAGAGCACCCTGCTGAGCCTCAGCTCCATTGTTCAAGAAACGAGCAGAGCAGTGAAACTCACCCTTCTGTGCCCCTTAGTTGCCTGTCTATAAAATGGGAGTAACGAGGACTAACAGGCAGGTTCGTGAGCATCAAATGAGACAGATGTGTGGGGCATCTGACTCATAGTCCATGCACGGCACTAGTCTCTATTCTTGCTGCTCCATTATTTGATTCTGCTCCCTTCCTGTGTTGAATCCCTTTCAGAGAGCAGTTTAGCCTCCTCTGAGCAAGATCATTCCTCCCCAAGTGGAGCAATTCACTTTGCTTCCATCTGCTCAAGATAACTTTCTATATCATCCATCACATAGGATATTCCACTATATCACTCCTGAAAGACTGTTTAGAGCTTTTGATTATGCCCTGTTGGTTAAGTAGGAAACACATAATGTCTGGGACACTGGCCTGACCCCAAGACACTGGTCTCTCTAAGCGGGTAAACCCTGCACTAGCCTAACAAGCTGCTCCCAAACATCCAGTTTTTAAACTACAGCTCCTCCCAGTACAGATGTTATGTTTTTTCTCTTTCTTCCTGGTCTAGTTCCACACAGTTTGGCAAGTCCCTGCCTCTTTATGATGCCACCTCCTGCCTGGAGTACATGAAGATCCACAGGCCAGGCAAGCACTGTGCCACTGAGCTATATCCCTGGCCCTAAGGGAACAGCTTTCTTTCACTTGCCTGCCTGCTCTCTTGGAGAATCTCCAGGGAAGAAGTTGAATCACATGAAGTTCTTCCTTCCAATTAGAAGCCTTGGCATAAAGAATATGTTGAACTATGTTTAATGAAAAAAATGAGTCTTTCCAAATAAACTGTGACTTATTCAATATATGTCCTTTCAGTCTGCAAACCTAGGATTCAATGCATATGAGGGGTGTGTCAAAGAGAGGGGCCAAGAGGCTGATGGGAACAAGGGAGGTTGTTAGGAAAAAGTTGTGTGTGTGTGTGTGTGTGTGTGTGTGTGTGTGTGTGTGTGTGTGTGGTGCTGGTGGACATTGAGGATATTGGTCAGTTCCCAGCCCACACAGAGAAATACCTGGCCATCTGGTGTTGAAAGATTTATTGTCTGCAAAAGGTGGTGATGTAGCAGCAGCTGGGATGAAGTGGAGGGTGGGGTGAGTGCATCCAGGGCACCTGTGTCCCCAGACAGTGCCACCCTCCTAACCGAGCTCCTTTATTCCAGGGACTTGTGACCCAAGCAGTGAGAACCACCACCCATCTGTGACCTGCAGGGTTCAGGGAGTGGGCATGGGGCCCAGATGTCACCTCCTTCCTGCCAACCAGGTTTGTCATAGGGACAGAGAAGGGAAAAGACAGAAGTGTGTGAGACAGGAGGACAAATTGTCACCAGTGTGCTTTGCAACTTATATCTCAGGATGCAGGAAAGAAAGGGAAAGTGAGGATCAAGAGGAGAGAGGCCAGGGTCTGAGAGACTCTGGGGGAAGGATCTTGCTGTCAATCAGAGATCACCCTTTATGAATCAGGAAGCCTACCTTGGGGCTTACAGTAGGATAGGGTTATTCTCAGAAAGAGATAGCCTTTGATGCTTCCATTTCTGTCATGACCTTGTTATTTCCCCAGTGAAAGGCAGAGCCCAGACAGGGTGAAGGAATGCAGAGAGGACTAGTGCAGAGAGGGAGCTGGGGGCAAGGCCTGAAGAGCAGAACTCCTCATACCGGAACAGTATGCTTTCACATAAATGGTGGGCATAATGGTGCCAGGTAGACAAGTCACCATTTATCTCCTTGTCACTTCCTGGTCAGCCTCCCTCAGCCAATTCTGTGGCAGAACATGAGGATGTAGGTAGGTTGCAGCAAAGGACTTAGCTCTCCTGAGGGCTCTGCTCGTGGGACAGGACAGGGGAAGGTGCTACCTAAGCTGACCTCAGGCAGCTAGGAACCTGAGAAGTTCCCTGGAGAAGAGTTCAGAAGTGGTGGGGATGCTGTGGAGGAGAATAAGGTGGTGCTAACTCCTAAGCTGAGCCTGTAGCTTGGTCAAGAGGAGTTAGCAAAGCTGCTCCCACAGCAAAGGGGAGGAGAGACAAGTTTGGGTGACGTTGAAGCAGGCTTTAGGAATGGCTAAGCAGAAGTCCTCTCCTGGGCACATGACACTGCACCAGGAAAAGCAGCACACACTTGTTCCCCAGCTGCAGGTTGGTCTTACACAAGGCCCGCTGCCTCAGGCTGAATTGGACCTAACTGCCACCTCTTCAGTGACAGGGATGACAAAGAGGTCCAGGAACAATGCAGAGCTGAGTCCAGCCCTTGGCCAGGTGGCTCCTGCCTGGCTGCCATTCAGGTAGAGAAGTCACTTCCTATCCAGCGTGAACTATCAGTGTGATGCCAGGCGCTGCCTGGTCAAAGTATTTCTTCCCTTGCACACTTCTCACCTTTTCCTTACTAGCTCTGGGGAAATGAGCAGGCCCAGCTGAGAGCCAGAAATGATCCTTGACCCCCACATCAAGTGCAAGATCTTGGCACAGCCCAGGGGCCACTCTTTGCCCTTTTTTTCCAATTCCTTTTTTATGTTGTCTTGGCCAAACTCCCTGTCCCAGAAATTGCTAAGCCACTTCCTTTCTTGTCCTCCTCCCTGTTTCTATGCCTCTCCCTTGGCTCCAGGAGCCCAGAACTTACCTTGCACTTCTTCAGGCATAGCAAGGGCAAGGACACTGGCCTCTCCCTTCTTTTCTGAGGCTGAAGCAGAGCCATTCGTTAGGAGAGTCCAGCCCTTCTCCAGAACCCAGAACCCAGCAGTGACAAACTGCAAATATCCCAAGCAGACATCTTCTCAAGTCTGTAGATACCGTCACTTCTTGGTCGCTGGCTCAGGAAGCATGAGGGATCAAGAATTTCTGCACTCTTGTCTGAAGTCATTAGGGGACAGAGCACAGGAGAGGAGAAGTGTCACCATTTGGGGACCTGCAGGATTGCTGGTGCTGAGCAGCAGTGTTTCTTTGGCTCTGTTTCCTGGGCCTGAGTCTGGAGCCCGAGGAAGGGGCTGAGGCAGCCTGGAAAGATGAGAGCTTGTGGTCTGTATGGGACCCTTCTGCCCTGGCTCCTTCCCCATGTGCCCTGCAGCATGGTGTGTCTGGACCTCAGTGACTGCATATCTCCTCCCCCTGTTTGGGGTCTGCAGGCCTTGTAGGTCACATTAATGCCCCTCCCAGAGGGCACTGTGAGCCTGAGGGCTCAGGGAGCTCTGTGTCAGAGCTCAGCTGCTGGGCTCTTTCTCCTCCCACTCTTTATTGTTCTTCTTCTGTCTTCCCTCAGCAGAGCTCAGAACTTTCCATTCTCCTCCTCAACTTCCTCCTTTCTCCTTTGTTTTCTCCTTCTCTTTCTCTCTCCTTCACTCTCATTTAAGCTGAAAAGTTTCCTAGTGATCACATCTGCACTATTTCTTATATTTCCCTCAGGGCTTGCACAAATGTGTTCTTGAATTATTCTGCCCTACTCAAAGGCGAGAGGAAAGAAAAAAAAAAAAAAAAAAACTCGTGATATGTTGTCCCATTCATGAGAGATAAATTAAAATAATCCAAGTATTTATAGATCCAATTTAATGAAATATCATGATACTTTTTATCAGGAATTATACCAGGCCCTGAGAATAAGGTGTTGAATAAAAAGGGTATCCTCGTTGCTTTGTGGTGCTTGTAGTCTGCTAAGCACAAAGCTAGTTAAACAAATAACTCCAAACCAATTAAAGTAATAAAGTACAATACAAGAAAAGACAAATAATCTAGAAACAGAACAAGTGAGCTTTAACCTAGCAGCTCAGTGGTTAGGGATTGGAGTTCCCAAGAAACTCCACACACACACGCACACACACACTCACACACTCTCTCACACACACATGCATATCAAGAAGTGTCTGATTTTCAAGTTGAGACCAATTAAATTAAAAAAATATATACAAAGTTGGAAGAGGAGTGGCTGCAGAGAGGTAGAAATTCCACAGGCCATGCAGATCAAGGGCAAGAAAAATTACTATCCAGAAGTATAAGTAAGTCATATTGCTGAAAATGAGAAAGAGAGGGAGAGAGAGAGAGAGAGAGAGAGAGAGAGAGAGAGAGAGAGAGAGAGAGAGAGAGAGACAGAGAGAGACAGAGAGAGAGAGAGAGAGAGAGAGAGAGAGAGAGAGAGAGAGAGAGAGAGAATGAATTTGGGTGAAATCATGGAAAGAGTCCTCAAAGACCAGGGAGCTTGAGACAGGTAGTGTGTCTAGTTTCCTAGTGGAAGTGGAATGGGGAATACCAGGACTGCATCACAGAGAACAGAAGGAGGGATCACAGTCCTCTCAAGCAGGAGGGAAATGGACATGGTCTATTTTAGAACAGCAGTAAAGTTGGAGAGTAAGAAGCAAATGGGAATTTTTGAAATGTTATACTAATCTGGAACAGGCTTTTAACATTGTGAGTGAGAAACACAAGACCTGTTTCAATAATACCCTACCCTGTGCTATTGTGGTTAAGTGAAATAGTCACATGCTCATATGTGGGTAGATTGGGAGTGTTATTGTAAGAACACATGACAGAGTTTATTAATGAAAATTCTTGAGGATCTGGAAAGAAGTTGGAAAGCTGCTTTTGTGTCTAAGCATAATCACGAGGTGATGTTTCAGAGATAAGGTTTTAAGGATAAATATTTCAGAAGGCTTATGGTTTCCTTGGTTCGTGAACAAAGACAGAAGCATTGAGAATGGCACCCAGGATTCTGATTTAGAAATTTTTCCCTATCATGGTGCCATTTATTTTCTTAGGAACACCAGTGGAAGAGCAGGTTGGTGAAGAAGAAAATCTGTTTACTCTGAACCCTGTGGAGTTTGAGATCTCTACAGAATATTCAGGAAAAGCGAATCAATAGATGCAAGTCCAAGCACATCATACCTGGGGCTCAAGAGACAGATCTAAAGAGAGGCACTCTCGAATCATGAGCTTATAAGTGGTAACCTATGAAAGCAGGAGGCCCAGTTGATGAGGAGATCGGACAGCCTCATGCACCAAATATTCTTCAGGGAATGTTGGAGGAGAAGCATTTAGTGAGAGGAGTGTGAGAAGTAGTAAACAGTCCGCTGTAATTTGAGCATACTGACTGTTCAGGCAAAGCCAGGATGGCTCTGCTGCTTTGTCTTCAGGGAGATGATTTGGAAGAGTGGAGTCAGTGACATGGAAAAGACCAGGTAACATCATCATGGGCTGTGGAGTAGTGGAAGGCAGAAGACAACGCAGTTTGCTGTGAGGGAGTTTGGCCTTGAGCAGGGATTTGGAAAGGGCACTTGCTGGAAGGAGAGGTGTGTAAAAGGAGGTGAAGAATACAGTGGGTTTCTTTGTAGACAGAGTCGGTGCAGAGAAGGAGGTTGGAGCGTCATAGGGGAGAAAGGTCCAAGGGGACAAGTCAGGCACAAATATCTGGAAATGTGGGGTGGGAACTGCACCTAGAACCCAGGTAAGAGGTGAGCTCCCATGGTGAAAGGGTGCAAAGAGGAATCACGGTGACCCAGCAGGTGTAACCTGTACCACTGGTGCATGCGCAGGTTCTTGATCACAGATCCTTCATGCTGGGCAGGAGGCTCTGCATTTGTGGACCTCAATGAACAGCAGCAACCTCAACCCCACTGCCTCACCACACCCTCCTTGCGATTCCCCACAACATCATTCTTGACAGTTGTTCTGGCTTTTGGTGGAGGCGACTATAGAATGAAAAGGAAGAAAGAGCAAGGGACAAGAGAAAGGCTACACTGGATCCCCACAATGGCTGCCTTGGACACTTGGTTACAAATTCCCTTCCTAGCAAAGATGCTCAGTGTGTATTATCA